GAGTTTGGGGGGTTTTGCATTAGTTCGAGTCTCAGGGCCCGTTCACACTTTTTTAGTCATGGTCTCAGCTTTGTGACAACTTTCCTCATTGGATTTGTAGAACTGCAGGGATGCAACTCTATAGAGGTAATTGCTGCAGTACTACTGAGTAATTATATAAACAGACTTTTAGCAACAAAATAATTTTCCCTGCGTGCAGGAAATCCACCCGGCTTTGTCCTAGTCTGGTGTTTGCCGTTACAGCAGTTAGTGGCCTTTTGGTCTTTTGGCAGCGTCTGCCCGTCTCCACTCCCCCACTCCACCCGCCTTCCCCTCATCAGCAGCAGCCGCCAGACAGCCAACCGATCCTGCCAGCTCTGGTGGGAGGCTGGCGACTGCTCCGTTCCAGCTCCTAAATCAGAGAGGCTGTGTTTAGATCCCCCGTGTAGAGCTGAGCTGCACTCGCACCGGGAGCGCCGCTGTCTTCAGGGTGAACGAAGGACGATGCAATTATTCTCTCCTGTTTATCCTTCAGATTTACGAGCCTGCTTAAATCCTCACCTTCTAGTTACATTTACAAAAGACTATGAAACCAAACCCAGAGAGCTGCTTCTGAACGCCGAGACGTACTCAAAGAAAATCTCAAATAACACCATCAGCAGGACACAAAGGCAGCTCATATAGACAAAGGAAACAGCTTTCGTTTGCTTTGATGGTCCGACTGGAGTGAAGTGCACCGCCTCAGGCTGCAATCTTCGAAACAACAAATCCTCACGCAGAGTTTAAGTGCACCATCTACAAAAGTGCATCTTGTTCACCTGATGTGTACCTGGTGAGAGAATCTCTCAGCTTGCTTTTATTCCCTTTTGATTCGTTGCACATCACTCTGTGCAGAAGGGTTCCTTCAGGCATTAAGGTTCCCTTTTACCCTACATATACACGCATGCAGCCATTTACTTGGAAACATGACACATGCTTTCCAGACTTTCAAAAACAACTTTGATAATGGCGAGAAACTTTTACACAAAGCCCCCGGGTCTTTCCAGGGAGAGACTTCGCTTCTTAAATTGCCCACATCTTCACATTCTGACATGAAGGAGGTTTTCCATGCTTGCTGCCAGGAGGCTAATTTGCCTTGGCACCACGAGCATTGGAGTACCAGAAAATGTGTTTGAATAAGTGCGTGTGTGCGCGTGTGCGTGGATGGGGGAAGTTCTTTTTAATTCTTTGAAATGCCACAGAGACCTCCCGGCCACCCGCATCAGTCCTGAACAACACTGCATCCTGAAGCACCGATGGAAAAAAGCTGCGAACAGAGAATCACCTTGGAAAATGTTGAAAGGCTCTTTATTGGCTATGAAACAACTGCAAACTGATCAGCTTTGAGAAGTGGGAACAACAGAATGCAGTTTGGCACCGACGTGATGGAAGAAAAGGCTTCAATCACTGAATGGCTCATTTCAGCTTATTCATAGAGCCCAGCATACAGACTAACAATAAGACAACACAAAGATGAGCTCATCCAACAGATTTACTAAGCACACCTGTTCAACTGCATGTTAGAGGAATAACATCCAATCAGCCAATCACATGGCAGCACCTCAGTGCACTGGGATATGTAGACTTGGGCCTGAATCTGCTGATCGGGGATTTTCCAAACAGAGGATCGTCCGAAAACTGGTGAGAAGAAGAGAAAATATGCAAGCGAGCAAACAGCAGTTTATTGTTGCCGACCATGACCATGATCAAATCATCTCACGCTGCTTTCTTTAGCATGAACTTAGCATGAATGTACTGTAGCCTCTAACAGAGCACCTTTGGGCTGCGGTGAAACAAACTAATGTGCAGCAGCTGTGAGATGCTGTCAGCATGGAGCAAAGTCTCATTGGGACTCCTCGTTCTGGGACCCGTCCCAGTACCAGCAGGGTGGATCTGGACGTCAGGTTTTTGTGAGCGGGAGAAACCTTCAACCACGGTCTCATGTTTCACCCACTGAAACGTCCAGATGACCAAATCCACATTTCTGAGTATGTAATAATGTGTCCGTCTCCCTGTCCAACTCATCCACTGAACACACTGTACACTGCAATAGCTGCGCCCTTTTTACACACGCTCTCCTCTTATTCAGCTATTTATCAATCAAATGTATATAAGTCATGTATATGTCGTGTCTACTTCTTACTTCGTGTGGTGTCTGTCTTTGTTACTGTTTCTGCTGGAGCACTGTAACCAAAATAATTTCTCCAATAAAGTCTTCTGATTCTGATAAAAGCAGTTAAACAACCACATGAGCGCTGATCATCACTGGCTCTCTGATTTCCCCTGAAGCCTCTGACTAACTGTGACAACAGCAAATGTCAGGCTGAGCCGGGCGACGTGTTTTTCAGGTTCCACCGGATGTGCTGAACAGTCCAGGGGAACAAAAGACCCGGGGGGGGCGCGGGAACGACTCCGCTCCGTTTGCTCTGAAGCCTGCCCCCCCCCTCATCCTTTTTAAAATGAAGCCCTTCTGATGATGCTCAGACAAACTGACACCAACATCTGATCCAACCATCTAGATAAGTACTGCTTGTGGTCTCGCACTGTGCCCGAGCTTTAAATTACACGCCCTGCTGTTACAGCGGTGTCAGTTTTCTCATCTAATCCTTGGTAAGATAGCAGGTGCATTTCAGACTAAACATTGTTTGTAGTCGAGCGCAAATTTGTCTTGGCGAAACTCAGACACGACAACATGAGACTCTAATGTTTACGCTCCTCTTCAACGGGCTGATCTGTGACAATGGGGGCATTCATCACTTCCTCATATGGCGTAATCGGCACTCGGGCACACGGGAATAAAACTGGACCAGCGAGACAGTCGCCGGGCTGTAGCTGACTGCAAAATGCAAATCCTGTGAGCACAAAGGGCGAGTCAGCACAGAGCACACTTCCTTTATAATCCATCGGAGCCTTTCCGATTCACCTGAGGCGTCTCTTCTAGCAGAACAATAGACCTCCACCTGATCTGATTTCTACCTGGCGTAACCTTTCACCATTCCCCCGACACAGGGACCTTTGTTGATCCCAGATGAAGGATCAGATCAAGTTGAAGCAACAATGATTTTCATTCATCTGGAGCAAAACTTTGCTTATACACATCGTGCTTTACAGCTCGTGAGAAGACGTACAGGCACACAAGCTGTTGCAGGCCAGTGACCTTCACTGTTCTGCTCTTTATCACTGATAACAGTCAAAACCCAAAATACCGCATCCCCCACAAGCTTCCCTTTCCCAGAATGCACCACATACTGCCAAGAAGGTTATGTAAGCCAAATCTGAAGCAGCCTTGGCTGAGAGACATGTTTTACTGCTGGCTGTGTTCCTGTTATCACCTTGGGTGTTTGAAAAGAGGACAGAGAGTCTGCTTTGTGTCTTTTCAACAAGAGGATCCTTGTGTCAGCCAGGAGCGACGACGAAGTCGTCAGATAAGCAGACATCGAGCACATTCCTTCATAGCGTTAGTTTCAAACACAGCGAGCAGGACAACGCTGAGGATGCAGGTTTAGAAACACTGCGGCTGACAAAGGAAACGAAAAGGTCACGAGACGGTTCCTCGATGTAAAATTGTGATCATCATCTATTGTACATAATATCACCAGACTCGCAATCTGGAGAAATCTCTGTGTGCAGCAGACGAGGCTGGAAGTGAATAACGGATGTGCCTCATTCCCTCAGGCACGACTGTCGCTGCATCCACAGATAAGCTTAAAGCAGCCACACGTGAACACGATCGTCACTGAGGAGGAAAACTGTTCTGTGGTCAGAGGACTCAAGGTTGGAAATTCCTTTTAAAAACATGGACGCCATGTCCTCCAGCCTAAAGACGAGAGACACCACCTGGTTTGTTATCAGCTCCCAGTTCAAACGCCTGCATCTCTGTGGTCTGGGGGGTGGATTAGTGCCTATGGAATTGACAGCTTGCACATCTGGAAAGGCACCATCAGTTCTGACAGGTATATGCAGGTTTTACAGCAACATGCACCAACATTATGACCACTGACGTGAAGAACACTGATTATCTCTTCATCGTGGCACCTGTTAGACAACTGTGATGGCCAGACGACTCTCCAAAAATGCAGCTCTGGTGGGGCGCTCTGGGTCTGCAGCGGCCCAACGAAGGAACAGTGATGAACCAGTGTGATGGCAAACCACACACGTCACCACCAGTAGATTCACCTTAGTTTACTTTGCAGTTACTACTTTAATATATTCTACTTATTGTTCAATGTTGTTTCTTTATTAAATGTATTTATTTTTCCATCACACCATCCTGTGTTTATATGGCGTGCACACATTAACACTGCAAGGTCAACGTTCTGTTTTATGTTAATGCATCTTTGTTTGAGTTACCTGCTGTCTGGCAACGTGCTGGGAGAGCTGAAGAACCACTGACAGCCTAATTGGGTGAAACCACATGCTTCGGGGGGGGGGTTCATGTTTGTTTAATTGTTTTGTATTAGTCGTTCATATGGCAGTTCCCCTGTGTCATTTCAGCAGGTCGGTGTGTCTTATGTTTGTTTGAGGTTTGTTAATTGTTATTCTGAGTTTAGTTTATTGACTTGACCTCTTTTATTGGTCTGCCTGTTTAAGTTTTTTGGCTTCGTTAAATATATTTTCATATTTTTGGGTCAATAAAACCCTTTTTTGAATTAAACCCTGGTGTTCTTTATGCTTTACTGCTTGGTCCCTGACAACCAGCAACGGCTCACTGATGGGCCTGATTACCACCTACCTACTAAACCACTGCTGCAGACCATGAACAACCTTTCATGGAAACTGTTTTCCCCGAAGTCTGAACTATGTCAGCGGGATAATGTGCAGTGCCTCAAAGGAAAATGGTTCAGGAATGTTTGAGGAGCACAGCGATGAGTTTGAGGTGTTGACTCGGCCTCCAAATCCCCCTGAGCTCAATCTAATCCAGCATCTGTGGGACGTGCTGGACAAACTAGCCCCGCCTCCCGATTGATGAGCGAATTTCTTTCTTAAAATGGTAAATTTTCCTCAACAATTTAAACATCGGATATTTCCCCAGTTATTTATGGGAGAGAAGGCCTTAGAGCAGCTTGAGGGAAATTGTGAAGCTTCCTTTCTTTTATCATGAAAAATATTTTGCGTTGAAGAAAAGCTGATTTGTTTGTATATGTTCTCTTTGTTAGAAATCAATATGTGACAAAATGTGGGGACTCTCCACTGAAGATGATGTAATAATGCCACAGCGGCGGTGGAGAGGAGGCAAATTATTTTTTGAGTGATGACAACAAAAACATGACTCCAAGTAGCCATGATGACCTAACGGCTCATTCCAGCAAGCAGCGCACTGAACAACAACCACAGCGACGCAGAGTCCATCAAACCAAGATTAGTCTGTGTTTTATGAGCCCGCAGGGATGTTTGTCGTCTGGGCTCTGCGGAGCATCTATTTGTTTAACTCTGCGGTGAGAACAGGCTCTGACTCCTGACTTCCTGCAAACAGCATTACATAAACCGCCTCCGAGCTGTGAATCAGTCGGGCTGAGATGGATTGGAGGCGCTGGATGAGAGAAGGGGGAGAAACAGGGAGACAGGAATTGGGCAGAGCAGTGGAAGGACTGAGACAGAAACAAAGACAGATTAAAGTGCAGCTTCCCTCCGCAGGGGAAGCAGCCTGGAAAAATAATTGTCGAGAGGAGACAGAGGAAAGCCACTAATGACAGCAGACAATAAAAACTGGCCGCTGCTGCAGCGTCTTCCCAGCCAGAACGACAATAAGGGAGGAGCTGGCGGCCCCGCTGTTAGCGATGTCCACCAAAGGATTGAACAGCCTCAACCGCAGCACCTGAATAGATCCTCGTCTGGGAATAGACTGTTATTAAGTCGTCTAAACACAGGGTCAGTAACACCGCCGCGGCACCTCCGAGACACTGGGAGATGGCACGGGTGCCAGCTAATTGGGTGGTCAGGATTATTTTGACGAGCAGTGAATAAAAGTGCGTATGAGTCAGTATTATACGCTGCACGTGCGCAGCCAGTAAACACAGTTGCGTGCTCGACTTTGGACTAAACAGCAATGATCCAAACGCGCGGCACAAAGAGGACAAACAAAAAAAATTATTTCAAGACTTTTTTATTACTAAATGTTTCTAATTCAGCAGTTTGTGTCCGCAGGTCATCCTAAAAGTCGCAGAGTGAATAAAATAAACGGTACAAAAAAGCATCAGTTTTGCTGTGTGCTACAAACGTCATTAGACACTAAAGTTCACATGACAACAAAGACGCATTCTGAACATTCATTTTCCCTTTCAAGTATGCTACTATCCAAAGTGACTAGTGTAAAGTTGGCAGAGGAAATAAAACAAGTATTTACACGTTACAGGTCCAACAAATGTGTCAAAGCAACAAATGCATTTCAAAATGTTTCCACACACACCGTCCACGGGGACGCCACTGACCGGCCTCCACGTTGGAAAGCAGAAACGAGACTACAGCGAAGCAACGTTTAAGACTCGAGTTGATCCACAAGGCAGCCTTCATCTCCCCGCTGAGGTTTCATTAACGTCTCGGACCTGGAGCAGAAGCGAAGCACTCGAACACGAGCTGAAAACAGAAATGCAGACCGAAGGAAACGTCCCGAAAAGCGTGACAAAGCTTAAGTGGCTTTTTCAGCTGAGATGATCTTCATGATCGAGTCTCACCTGTTAAGTAACCACCAGAGAAGCTGGCTGATGAACCTGTGAACTTGCTTGTTGTGCCAAACTCGTGAGCGTCAGTCCAAAAATACAAGAAACTCACACACTACATATCAGGTGAATAAAAATGTAAAGAATCATTTGTGACTAAAGCGATATTTGAGATGAGGCGGCACGTGAGCTGTAGCTCAGGCGGTAGAGCAGGTCATCTACAGATCAGAAGGCTGGTGGTTCGATTCCTGGCTTTACTCCTAACCCCAATGCATCCATCGGAGTGTGAATGTGTGTGAATGTTAGAAAGCACGACACCGAGCCCCGTCAGCTGAACGCCTCTTTGGTTTAACCAACTGAAACAAGTGGATCATTTCATCCATGAACTCAGTGAACCTGCGACTAGTACCAGAGAGCCGACCGGCAGAGTACCGCCGCTGGTTAAATACCTTCGTTTACACAGCAAATGATGAACGATTGTGATTTCTGCCAAGACTGCATTCAGGAAGGTGAAACAGTACCAGATTGTACATACACGTGCGTATTTTAAGTGTATATACAGAAATACACATAACGGACACGTGTAGGAGGAGGGCGACCAGTATGTACAATAATATACATAATATACACAAAAACCTGCTCCTAGTCGAGCCCGTGATCACAGCTTCAGACACCAGCTCGTTTTGGATCAACAAACTCTGACGTCCACACGCGTGCAGAGGAACAAACCACAGCATAGCTGTGCCTCCACAGCTGCCACAGCATCGCTCTTCTGTCAGGCAGGCACAGAGATTTAAGACAAGGCTGACGAAACGTCTTCAACAATAAATACAGAACACAGTCAACAGAAACTCAAACCTGAACGGGCTAAAATGTACCCGCCAGGTTTTTTCTTACAAACTGTAAAGTCATCAAAATGAGCTCGAGTGACAAAAACATTTCAAAAACAGATTAAAATTTCATTAACCCTAAAAATAATAATAAGACTCACGTGGACTGAAATGGAAAATAAAGAACCTTTAAGCCGCTTCATTCCTGTGTGATCGTTTATCTCAAATTCTGATATTGGAAAAGCTGAATGTGACCTACAGCACGTTTTTATGTCTGCGTCAAACAGACACTGCTGATTGACATTTTTCCTCCCCAGACAGACAGCAGAGGACACGGCTCTCCACTGTGTCCAGAGCATCTCTCTAGCTCTGTATATATGGAATATGTCGGGCGTATGCGTCCACTCAGAGAACCCGAGTTGCAATGTAACCAAATGCAGTCAAGAATCCCTGTGCAGCCTGTATATTCCATATATATGGAGCTGGACAGGTAGTCTCTTTACTCAGAGAACCGGGGTTATATTGTAACCAATTCTTCTATTTCTATTTCTTTGATACTTTTCAGTATCTGAAGCCCACATCCTCTCTCCTGAAACCGTTACGTTCCAATAGGTTGTCTTGTTTTTCTATTCAGGCTACTGACAAGAAAACTAAAGCAGTTTAAAGATTGCTTTTAAAATAGCTTCCAGCATGAAATGTACAGGACACCCACTCGAGCTCCACTAACAAATGTTTCATACTGATGTGACTCAAAGTGATGATGGGGGGCGGGGAGGGGCTTCCTGCGGTGAGACAAACTCATACTTCTTCAGTTAGCTTCTTGCATATGTCTAAGTGGAAAATTATAGCCTTAAAATGAAAGCTGATGCTAATAAGTTTGTATTAGTTATGTTTCAGAGTCGGCAACAAACGGAGCGTAAAGATGGGAGAGACATTTATTTGTTGTTATTCAACACCCAGCGTTCGGGGAAAGAGTTGAAACTATGTGACAAAGATTGCGAGTTTGTCTCACTCTGCATGAGTTTCATTAGTTGCACAATTAGCCAAACTCCCCCGGGGTCGAAATGAAGTAACAGGACGCGACAGCTTAGACAAGACGGCTTTCATAAAAAGAGGAAAAACCAAGGACGTAATCAATAAACACAATTAAGACAAATAACAAAATGAAAGGAAGCTTCATCATTTTAACAGCTGTGCAGTCAGACACTACACAGTTTGTCCGTTCGTCCATCAGTCTGGGCTGAAGTATTTACACTGTGCAAATGAAACATCGAGCAGACAGTGTCAGAGTTTCTTTCACGTGGTTCCAGGTGCCGTAAGATCTCCGTCGCTTCCCCGACTGTCCTGATTTCAACAACCGTTTCTCTTCCTTTCAGTCACGTCCTGGTTCAGCTCTCACGGCTAATGTCTTTGGATCGCTAAAACTTCATTTACACCTTTTTTTCACACTCCTTTGTTTCCCCAAAGGTCTCTCCTTCATGATTCAGCCAATTAAGTTTAGATATAAAACTAAAACTTAAATAAAATAAGATTAAACGATTACACTAATACTGGCAGTTTAGGGCCAGATGAGGGTTATTAAAAACAAACGCCGTCTTTCTCTCCGTGTGAACCACAGCAGCCCTCCTCCCTGCAACAAACCTCACCAGCCTTACTGAAACAATGCGTCTGCATTCACATGATTGCATGGAAGGTGCTCTTCGGAATGGGCCTTATGGTTTAATGGGGATGACGATCAATCCCTGGACTGGTTTTTTCCTCTATCGTAAGTTCAGAAGAAGATGACATCCTCCTTATTGAGGTCCTCTGTGGTGAACTTGTAGGGCGGCGGCAGGCTGTGGCTGAGCCCTTGAACCTGTGCGCTGGGATTGAGGCTCTGCGGCTGCACGGGGGAGTGGAACTGAAGAGCGCCGGTGCTCTGCGAATGGGGAGGTATGCTGGGAGGCTGCAGGGAGGGTTGAGGATGGGACTGTGCAGGAGGCATGGGGGGCTTCTGAACATTTGGAGGGTGGGAGGCAGACTGGATGTCTGGTCCAGCGTTGTCTAGAGAACTGGGCTGATCTGCAGGAAAGGCAATAAGAACAAAGAATTATTGCAAACACAGTTATGCACAGCAGCTCGATGCAGTCGGGCTTACTCATACAGGAATGTAGTCACATAAAATCCTGCCAGAGCTTTTTTCTTTGTAGCTGCAGCAGAGAGGATTAAAACGTCTGTGTCAGCAGCACCGCTTGATATTAATCATACATGAAACTGATAGGTGTTTACACAGGGTGAGGCTGGGCATGCAGACTTCAGAGAGGAATGTGACTGGGTGGGGTCAGGTTTGCCCAGGTGGAGAACGCAACTCTTTTGTTTGCATCTATGAGAACCAAGATTAATAATGCAGCAGGCAAAGACGGACGAGAGCAGATTGTGTTTGAGTTCGTCTGATTGAGCGCGTGCGCAGCGATACCTGCGTGGTGATGCTGGGTGTGCAACTGAGGAGGGGCCAACATCGGGACCTGCTGGTGGGGGCTGACGGAGCGCTTGACCTTGTGGGCGTTGTCCTCTTTGGTGGAAAGCTTCAGTGGGAGCACCTGCTTCGTGTCCAGCGAGGCTGCGGGGAGACCGAGGGAGGGGACGGGGAGCAGAGAGATCAGATTAGATGAGGCCACTGTTTGATAAGCCTGACCCAGTGAGGACTGCCCATGTGATTCTAATGAGACCGATCAGGCCGAGCGCAGGTCAGGCAAGAAAACCCATTTTAATAGAGAGTCTGCTGCACCGATTAACATCACCTACGGGAGGGAGAGACTTAAAGCCTAACGGCCTACACCCAGCGTGCTTTGCTCAAAAAGCACCTGAGCTTTACAAACTGCTTTGAGTAAACAGTCTCTCACGAGTGTGAGCAAGAGACGACCCGCACCGTTATCACCTTCCTTGGTACCTTTCTAAACAGGACTGCACTGTATAGTATTTACACCTGTGGCCATTTAATATCAAGTCTGCAAGTGCTGGAATTTCTGATGCGCGGCCATGATCCCGGCGCCTCACCGGTGCTGTCGGTGCGATGCGAAGCTTTGCCGCTCTTGCTTCCTTTCCCTTTGCTGCTGTTGATTGCTGCCAGCTTGGTGGGGATCTGCTGCTGAACCCCGACCGGCTTGTGCAGCTGGTTGGTGGTGCTGAAGAGATGGAGCGGCACCTCCGTCTTTAGCGGCAAAGTCGAGGAGCCCGTCTCACGTCGCGCTATCACCTCGGGACGCTCCGGATAGTCGGCTTGTGCCACGGACATGCTGCCACGCACCAGCGGCTTCGGAGGCAAGTCGGCGGACCCGGAGGACATGAGGAGATCTCCATTTAGACTTCCAGAAAGGGGAGCCACCTGCAGGACAGGAAAGAACGGGTTATTCTTAAGGTGGACTTTTAAGCTCAGTCTCCATATCGATGCGTCGATTCAGTTTAGAATCACAGCTGCAAATGTTTGCACAGCCCGTGTGTGCGTGTGCATGAGAACACAACTGCAAACAGCTGCAGAGAATACACAGATCGCACGCCATGAATTGTCTGCCCTCTGTAATGGCAGGGCGTCATCAAATCTGCTGAGGCGCTGGGTATTTACGGGCTAAAGAGGGAATCAGAAACACATTGGGCTCTTGCTGAGCATGCATTTTGGTACATCTGGTGCAAGCTTTTGATTCCCCCCCAAAGCTGCTTGAGGACAAAGCGCACAGAGACACAGAAAATCAGAAACATAAAACCCTTAATAATCCGTGCGCACACAAAGGCGTGTCGAACAAAACGAACAGGACTGCTAAACAAGCAGGCGAACAGGAAAGCGGCTCCGGTGACATGAGCGGATAATAGAAATCGCATTTTCCACTTAATTACTAGAAGGGAGGAAAGACGATCTGGAGGCCGAGTCAACATCAGCGTCCGAGCTGCATTCAGTGAGACTGACCAGGAGGATTTCTGCAACAATGCAGTGATGTGGTGTTTGTGTTAACAATCCCACAAGTTTCATCGCCACAAAGGCTCCTTTCAGCGCACTTTTGTAAGAAATACTACACAACCAAACTTTGCTAGTCCGCCTCTGCAGCGCTGTGACCCAGTTATGGTGGAGAATGATATTTATCTGACATTATATAAGAAGTCAAAGAACAATGGCCGACTACGAATCAGCCAGAAGGGGTTAACTCTTCACCGTCCTCTTACGTGATAATGATGATGATGATAACAGACAGGAAATCTTTGGGGATTACTACGATGGTCTTAATTATAAAAATAAACGAACAGCCTTCCTCTAAACGGTGTTTAATGTTGTGCAAATATCAACATCAGTTTCTCTGTGGCATCAGCCTGTCTGCGAGCAGTCCACGTGCAACATGATTGATGCTGCTGCTGAGCACTTCCTGTGGCGACGGGGAGCGCCTGACTGAAGGCAGACTCATCCGAGCGCTCTCGTGTGCAGACTGTAGCTTCCTCTAGCCGAGACAGTGAAGGGGCCCTCTGTGGGCGAAGTCTCCATTCATCCTTTCTTGACCCCTCGGTTTTGCTTCTTCTCCGTAATCTTTCCTCTTTCGGCACTCGCTCATCTCGGCACACAGATCCTTCATTGTTCCCACAACAAGGTGATCTGCTTTAAGCGACGCAAACAGCAGGTTTCCAGGGCAGTAAAGCACGCACGAGCTGCCGAGCACAAAGAGCTCTGACTGACAGCACATAAACAATTAGCACTGGCTGCCTTCCAGAGGGTACTGCTAATGCTGGGTTTGGACTAGCTGATTACAGAGCCAGGTTCCTCTCAGCCTGCATATTCCCATATCATAATGTATCCACGAACCCTGCACAAAGACTTCTATATGCTGACAACACCAGCTCGGGGCTTTTAGCCGGGAGTAATTCATGTGTTGAACAGTGACGTTAAAAATGTTTTTTATGGTTAATTTGCAGCTGTGATCCAGGCTGAAGTCACGAGATTAGCAGGCAAAACACGTTTAATCCAAAATCAAACTGCACCTAAGTAAATCCTACAGTTCCTGAATGTGGTCCGACTCAGAGAAAGCACCATGTTGGAACACGGTGTTTCACAGCAGCTGTTATTCATGCCACAAAATTATTAGCCAACATTTTTTATTAATGCCTGATGAATCTTTTAAGTCTCGCATCAATCAAAAGATCAAACATTTCCATCTTTTCCACTCAGCACAAGTTTTAGACTTCAGTCGATTCTCTACAAATAACAAACATGTGGAGGAACTTTAACCCATTTATGACGTTTCAGTCACTCGCCGGCTGCAGAGGACGAAAGCAGCCGTGTCTGTTTGGGTTCTCCTTACACCAACAATGATCAATACACTGCAGCTTTATCAATAACATGTCACAGCCTGTTATTACCTTAGAAATCCTCATTAATCCCAAAAAAGCAACTTTCTCCAAGACTCCAGTAAAAGTACTTTGAATGTAAAACAGTACTTTCCTCTCTCAGAGCAAATGATTCACTGGGAGTAATTTGCCAATATTGTGGTTAAAGACTGAACAGTACTGCACACAGCGTACAGCTAACAGGTGGGAATAGCCACAGTGGCAGATGGCTCAGAGAAAATATCTGCCCTCGAGCGCAGTGCTCAGCTCCACAAAGCAACTGCTAGCAGCTGATTATAGAAGAACCCAGAAACAGGCCTTTAGGTTTCTGTGCACACGGTGAGGTGTTGATGAGTGTTTACTGCGAGCTTCACAGAAACACACTGAGACCAAAGCAATTAATATCAGTCTGGAGGCTAAAGCCAAAGAGCAACAAGAACTTTTACTTTGTTTGTTCGTTTGCAGACTTTATGTTTTAGTCACATTTGTGTGTCTTCACATAAAGAAATCAGAGAGGATCTAAATAACACCGTTATGCATGTTTGGCTCCTAATTATTCCACCTTTGTGCTTTCGTGCTCACTCTTAGTTGCTCCTGTTGTCTCGCACTGCCCTTTACGTCACATTTTTAGGTACACCCATTCAGCTGCTCGTGAAACAGCTGGTGCATGGAGCAATTTGGCCAACTGTTTCTTGATCATGTTGTTTACGTTCACTTAAACCTAGAAATCGAGATGTAACCTCAGCAACGCTTGGCTTTTATGACCTTCCAATTACAAGAGTAGTGAACAATCAGACCACAGCCAACCCAAATCCCGGGGCCAACTACGATCAGACGAGATAACACAGATCAAAGAGGAAAACACGCTCTCTTCAGTCAGAACATGTCAAAACCTGCACAGTTGTTGCTCACGTATGTTAAGAAATGCACACACAGAAGCATGTCTCTTTTTATGAGTCTAATCAAAGCTCTCTGCGATTGCTGATGAGTCCTCATTTTGGTTGGTGGCAGATAAAAGTCTGTTGATATCAGCTTGGCCAGGAGCCTGGAACAGATCCTGCGGGTGTAGCTAATGAAAAGACCGTTTGATGTGTTTGACACAGAGGGAGAAGAAACCACTTCCAAATCTCTCCAAACAACAGCCAAGAAAGTCCCAGCCAACAGCATAGAACTGAAACCCATAGACGCTGCACGTATGTACAAAATGCACGCACAAAGACTGATTACATAGGTTGTAAGTGTGATGTAGTTCAGGTCTCATCTTGCAGTTCATGCAACAAACTTCACAGAAACCTTTTTCACCGTCACCGTTTCAGCAGAGGCCTCTATAATTAGAAGAGGATTACTCGTGACAGAGGATTAGGTCAGTTCACCCAGAGGCTCTGCTGCTTCATCAGAGGGGATGTGGCTCTCCTGGAGCCACTGAAGTACTCCAGATATGACTCACAGTCAAAGGCCTCTGCAGCTTGTAATGAGATGATAACTGCAATAATTCACATCAGCTGGTTATGTTTGTGTACATCCTGAGTCTACACTCCCGTTAGCTGAGGTCTGGGGCATTAAAAAAGGTTCCTAACATGAAATCTGTGAGAATGCACGAGGGCAAAGGTCACCGTGTGAAGCTGAGCAAAGTTACAGACGATTTTAAAAAAGGAATCCACAGTTGCAAAAGAGCTCTGTAGCGCTTTCTGGGACGTGTCTGGGCGTGAATGAACAGCGTCGTGTCAGCTGACAGTTAGTCAGCATGGTATGCAGGCTGGAGACGCCGGCCAATCAGCAGAGAGGGACTTATGACATAACTATAGATTGCAATCAGACAGAAATACATGCATATGAGCCCATGTAACAGCACCAATGGTTTACAGACTTGAGTAATTGCAGTCCAGTGACGGTGAATCACTGTGCTGCAGTCAGAGTCATCACAACATCATTGGAAAAAGGCAGCACGCACATGGTGTGCGTGTAGCTGGTAGCTTTTCACATTCACGCTGTAATATTAGTATTTGAAATTAGCTTTAGGTATTTCTAGTGGCTGTGAAAGAGCTTGAGCCAACACATCGCACTGTTACATAAATCATAAGACTTTTTCAGGTAAGCAGGAACCAGAGCGTGCAGTGAGTCCCGGGTCTGCGCTGAGCTGTGTCAGAGTGAATGTGGCGGCGCTCATGGATGCATAAAGCTTTGCTGTATCAGCTACAAATGAACGAAGTCAATTCAAAGTCTGTGATTCAGGCGCTGCTCTATCCACTGATATTTTTTTTCTTTGACAAACAGATAAAATCTGTCAAGACAAAAGTTGCTGGTGCACACAGACACCCCACTAAGCTGTAATTGGTTGTTGCAGACCTTTGAAAACACTAAAGGCTGATATTAAGTAGCTCCTTGACAGATTTGTTAGCATCGGGCATGAAATTACAGTCAGTGGCTCTGTCTCAGAACTGCTCTCCCATGAAGCTCACAATGCAACGCATTGTAGCGTAAGGAGAGGAAGCATAAGCAAAGACGAGAGCGGCTGGGGGGTAAGGAGATGAAGCACACAGAGGTGTGTTTTCAACCGTCAGTGTACCATCAGCCCGTCTATGACACCGATGCTTCTCCCACTCGTAGGAGACCCGATAAGCAACTAAAAAAAGGGTCCTGTGGCAGCTTCTTCATGTTTCCACTTCAAAGTGATGAAGAGAGAAAGGGCACACGGACACACTAATGAACCATCGTGCAAAAGCAAGCACAAAGAAATTAAATGCTTCAAATCAAATGCATGCAACACGTGTGAGCCTGTAATACATCATAACAATAACAACAGTGCATGTGGCCACCAGCACGGGTGCCCCACCTCAATGGTCTTCCTCTTGATCTTCTTCTGGTGTTCCAGGCGTTCCTTTTCTTTCTCCACAGCTCTGGTGGACTCTCTCAGTCTCTCCAGGTCCTGCTGGTACGTCTCCCTCTGCATGTCCAACTCCTCCTTCTCTTTTGCCAGTTGCTCCTGCGTAACAAGAAGTGATGCTGCAGCTTAGGCTTTGTTAAATATAAGCTCAGCAAGTTTAGTCTTCAGCAAACAGAAAGCCAAACGTAACTGTCCTGCAGCTCTTAGGTAACAGAGAGCACCTCACCTCCGTCCTCCTGCACTCCTCCTCTCTTTGTCGTAGCCTGGCCTCGGTAGCCTCCACCTGCTGGCGGTGCCTCTCCCTCTCCTTCTCCCAGTGCTGCTGCTCCTGCCGGTGCTGCGACTGCAGCTTGTGGAGGCTGGCCAGCTCCTCTCTCTGCAAGGCCAGAGTCCGCTGCTTCTCCTGCTCCAGGAGCACGTTCCCCTTGTGGCGGCCGGGCAGGGAGGCCCGCTCCGTCAGCGAGGCCCGCTGCAGCTCGATCTGACTGTCCTGCTGCGAAACGATGGCCTGAAGAGACACACGAGACCAGGTGAAACAACAAAAACGTCGCAGACGATGATGAGCAGCTGAGATGTTATTACATACTAATGCATTTCATTTATAGAGTGAAGGGAAGACTTTTACCTCCAGACTGTAGAGCCTCTGTGAGAGCATCAGCACTCTGTCAAAGAACTAGAGTGCAAAGAACAGACAAGGTCAGCACGCTCAAATATCCACAACACAACATTTTACTGGGTTAATAAACATCTCATGGCTGCAGCAGGCACGACTGCGAGCATCAAAGCTGACGTTGTGTAGCTGAGAGATAAGAGGCGAGACGCTTACTTCAGCCTCTGGGAACGAGTCGGACCAGATGCGATTCCACCGGGCAGGAGAGCTCTCGTCGACCTGAGCGAGAGACACACAGCGAGCCATCAAACTGCAGTGCTGCACATCACGTACAGTACAATATAAAATATGACCTCAGCACTGAATTATTTAATTTCAGTTTCGTAGAAAAACGAATAATAAAGTTTAATAAAAGACGAAAACCGAAACGTGTGAAGTATTAGTTCAGAGCACTGAACTGAAGTCTGCTGGCTCTGCTGTCCAGGAGAGACATTTACTGGAATCAAATGAATGTTCAGGGAATTTGTTTATCGAGGTTTCATCTATGTAGACACAGATGAAGTCACCTGCAAGCACGTGGAAGTTTCCAGAGGACTTGCTCTGGTTCTTACTATTTACAGGAAATAACACCGACTCATCGCGAGGTGTGTGTGTGTGTGTGTGTGTGTGTGTGTGTGTGTGTGTGTGCGCGCCCTACCGTCTGCTCCAGGGCGTGGCTGCCACAGAGGTCTTTCAGCTGAGGGTCAGAGCTGGCTCTTTGACTCCTGTCTCTGTTTCTGGACTCGGCAGAGAAGTTCTTCTTCACACTGCCATCTCGCACACACACACACACACACACACACACACACACACACACACACACACACATTAACAAATCACAAACGCTTGGGGGGGAAAGAAACTGACCGGCAAACGGTCATAATCTAAGAGAAACTTCACACATACAACCAGATTTGTGTGTGAACCGTCCCCACAGATGTATTTATTCGTGTGTATTTATCTGTCCTGTATGTGTGACGTCAAACAGACTTCTTTGCGGCTCGCGGTGTGCTGGACTCACTCTTGTTGAAGATGGCGGGGCTGCTGTCGTAGCCCCCAAAGGTGTCGGCTCGCCTGGGCAGAACCCCAGAGCCGCTTCCTTCCTCCCACCTGGCGGGTGCAGGAGGCCCCTCCCTCACTCCAGACTGCAGCAGGTTCTGAAGGTTCTCCACTGAAGCCAAAACAAATCAATAATATTACAACCTACTAATTTATGCAGCAGCTGAGAGAAGAGAACACGTGTGTGTGAACGTCATTTAATTCCCTTTGAAACTTAGATGCACGTATTGTCATGCGGCCTGGTCCTACCCTCAGTGATAGCTCCTTTGAGCAGGACCTCCCCCTGCTGGAGGTCCGAGAAGTCTCCTCGAAGCAGAAGTCTGGAGCGCGACGCTGCGTCTTCCAGCCCTGCCACAGACTCGGCCATGTCCGCAAACAGCTGAAGCTTCTCGGTCAGTGCCTGCGTGATCACTGCATCCTTCTGGCTTAGCCGTTCTACAGTTGGGAAGCATGACACAGAAGACTCATTCCTGGACAAGCTTTAATATTCTAGACTTCTAGATAGTTGAAGGGTAAGACAACACACGAGCACCACCTTGTGGCCTCTAGTTACCTCGAAATTCTTTAAACCTGGAAGCTCGCGCCTCTTCTTCCTCACTGAACAGCCTTTCCTCAGTGTGAGGGCAGCTAACGGGGGAGAAGACAGGAGCCAGGTGAGGAAAGGATCCTGGCTTTGATTGAGGTGTGTGAACACTTTCTTTGGATTAGCCTGAGTGATAAACAGATGCGTGCTTGTGTGTTGCTGCAGCTACCTCTCTGCAGCTTGTCGTATTTGCGTCATCCATGAGTTTCGGTCCTCCTTCGAGGCGGTGTGGATCTCATACATCTCCGGCTCATTGGAAGAGGCACAGATGAGAAACATGGCTTTCTCCTCGTGGGCAACCTCCCTGACTATGAGCTTCTGGAGAGAGATAACTGACGGCTTGTTATCCTGGGAGGACCAGAAGAACAAAAGAGAGGAGGGGGCGGAAACGAGAATGAGAGCTGAACCGATGAGTTTACAAACCTGTCGCCCGTCACAGCAGAATTCTGCTCCTTCTTTCCAAAACACACCGAGCACATTTCTCTTTGATGCCCTTTTATTTTCATAGATACCGACGTACTCACCACTGCAGCAAATACATATTTCTGATCTTTTTCTTGCAGCAAAAGCAACACATCTGACAGCAGCACGGCAAGAATATCTAAAGGAAGAGCAACAGAAATGACAGCTTATTGATTTATAGAACCAGAACACGTGCACAGACAGCAGAGGAGTCATAGTTTTATTATGTGATAACCTTTGAGTCTGCCTGAAGCAGCTCTCCAGCTGACTGTGCCCTCATGAAGCAGCCGTCTCCGGCCCGGCGCGAGGTCCTCCCTCCGAAAGACACGACCGTCTTTGAATTTCCCCTGTGCCTTCGGCTCCATCCTGAGGTGTATTTCTCTGAGCCTGGAGCTCTTCTCGTGGAGATTAACCAACGTGTCCACCCGTACGATGGTGTCTTTGATCAGACCCAGCGCCCGACTCAAATCCACATGCTCGTCCGTACCAGCTAGGAATGAGGAAGGAATGATTAAACACAGCGAAGTCGTTCTGGGCAGTAACTGTGATCTACTGAGCAGAAATACCTTCAGTGTTGTGAAGAATGCGCTCAACTAGTACCGGGTACTTTGTAATCCGCTGTGTCACCAATAAAATACACTCAGTCACTCCGAGCCGCCGCACAATAGACAGGTGACTGATTTTCTGCAAGAACAAAAGCAGAAATATTTGATTTGACGCTGCACGGTAACCAACGCCTCTTTAATGTGATATGATGCAGCTAATTCTGTGTCGGCGTCGTACTCGGATGATGTTTTGGAACTTTTTGTTGTTTTGCAGCTGATCTTTGTAGTAGCTGACAGCTTCAGGGTGGTGACTGCAGAAATCTCCATAGCTGTCCTTCATCTTCTCTCCGATTTCACCTGAGAACTGGACAAAGAACGAACGTCAGCTCTGTCGCCGATGGTGGGCATCAGCGTGCGTGCGTCTCCTCCATACCTGTGCGATCAGGACGTCTGCCAGTTTGTTGATGGTGTAGTTCCTGTCGCTGGGCGGGACGAGGCTTTCTCGCCGCCGCTCTTTGAGACGAGACAGGAAGTTTGTGTGAAGGTCGAGGAGGTTTTCCAAGCGGGGAAACAGACAGTCCAGCCTTCCTGCGTCCATCTGGAGGTTCTCCTTCAACTCCCGGACGTAGACGCGCAGCATGATCTTCAGAGTCCTCACATGATGCATCTCTGTCTGCATCAGCTCTACAGGACGACACGCATGTTGTGTAATGCACGTGTGTGTGCCGTGCACTGAGGTGCTGGATGTTGCGTAAAGCTCCTGGTTTTCCCCTCATCTACACACTCCGTTACATTTAGGCTTTTTAAACACACACATTTACACATTAAGGTTTATTTACAGCTCTCGCCGAATTAAATGTGCGATTCCAACTGTGTTACAGTTAAAGTGCACGGCCCAATCAGTGTGCCTTTCAAAGCGCCGTCTGCACCCACTGATCCGCGCGACAGGCGGCTCACTGGCCGGACACGTACAGGAACAATGAAATCACACTTACCGTATATCACGTCTTGTCTCTTCGCCGTTTCTTTAGTGTGCTTTTTGAGATACTGCTGATCAACCGCCGAACTCCACGAGTCTGCCTCCAAATCCTGAGCATCAGACTCCAGATCAGCCCGCACAGCTGCATAGTGAGCATCTGAGGAGAGCAGCAGAGGCATCACACCTGCTCTGCTTTGTTGGATTATAATTATTTTGAAAAGGACTTCTGAATATTGCATGATGACACCTCAACATGTGCAGAATTTTATAAATAATGACGATTCCTAAATGACTGTTATTGTGCAGGGTCCGTGTTTAACAGCTCACCCTTCTGAACTAAAGGATTTCCCGTCGCCTAAATGAGACAGTTTATAAAATCATCAGCTCGGCCGAGACGACGCGCGGCCTTGTTTTCATCTTTTAAACGATCTGTAGCAACTTTGTGTCTCACTACAGGAAACTTGCTCGCCTCTGCAGAGGCGAGCAACACTAGTTCAGACACGCTACAGTCGCTTCCACCAATGCCGAACCCGCGTCGCACGTTATCATCAAGGTCGCTTTCCTCAAAGGGCCGATAACAAAGTGTGACTCCTCCTCAACAACATATGATCTCCGCCCCTTTCATCAGTTATCCATGAGCACAGTGCATGCTGTGATGTTCTTAATATCAGAGATAATATAGGTGATCATCCTCCATATTGATAACACAACTGTGAGGAAAAACAATCATCCTGCCCTGTCATACATTGTTAACGCGTGGAATAAAACGGGTATCAGCAGAAGCCCTTTCATAAATAAGCCCATAGAGTCTCCAGCCTAGAATACAGGTCGAGGTCACTCCTGGACACACAAGTCAAACCAGCAGGACACACAAAGCCCTGAAGGTGAGCTGTCGCTCGAGCAGGCAGCCCTCAGAAGACTCAGTCTGAGAAAAGCTGGTCAACAGTTTCCCACTGATACCAACTGAGACTGGAACTGTTATTCCAGTAATTCCAGTTCAAGCCACATTTCAGTCACTCAGCTGCTCACCTTCTACAATGATGGACTCGGTGGTCGAAGGAGCGAGGGAAATCGCGTCTTCATTGTAGCGTTTGGAGCGGGGAGTGTCCGTCTCATCCATCTCCCCAGGGAGGGATCTGAGGGAAGACAACCACAGGTCCAAGGTGGCATACATGGTGAAATGGAAACAACGTGATGCTGCTAGCAGCCAACACGTGCGTTTAAAGACCCAAAGTAGCAAATAAATCAAAGAAAGTAGAGAAAATCTTTCCTGATCTCTTCTTCTCCACCTACTGTGGCCCATCTCTCTTTCACTGCCCCCCCCCTGTTACCGAGCCATGCAGCAGAAAAGCAGGCAGCTGCAAGCCGTCTACACTCAGCTTCACAGGGCGTCATATTAGAAGAGACAGCCTGCCTTTAAGTGTCGACTATAAAAACATCTTACGGTGGCAACGGCAAAATATCGTTTGAGCTACAGAGACGAGAATCTAAAAATATGAGACATTTACATACAGCAGAGCCTGCAAACATTGACAGTGCAGCAATATACGTTTCAGAGAAAGACTGCTCTGTGCTCCTCTGTGAATCTTTCAACTCAAAAAACAAAGAAAATCTCTTGAAAAGGAAACGAGTGAGAAAGTTTTTGAAAGAAAAAAAAGGTTTTTCAGGGGAGAAGTGGATGAAGTCCATACTCACGCTGAACTATTGTTGTAATGAAGGTTGTGGCCAATGCTGGAGGTAGCAGCCGTGGAAGTGCTGGTGGCGAGGGCGGTTTGCGAAGCGCTAGATCCCAACGCACTAATGGTCATGCCTGGGCCACTGAACGAACCTCGATGGCCATCCAGGGCCTGAGATGCGGCCGGGCCTGCCTGATCCCACTCTCTGTCCCGGTCTTTTAGCACTGGGAAAGAAAGACGAGAGACAGGTGATCGGATGCAATTAGAGGACACAGAAGAGGAACATGAGGACAAACGAGGAGAGGACAGAGAGAAAGGAGAAGATGACCGGCGAAGTGGAGCGGAGGAGGAGCTCTTCGTGTCCTGCCCGAGCCGACCCCAGTGCTTTCTCAGCCAGGATCGCGGCAGGGATCGGAAGAATCTGCAGGTGATCATGTCGCGGTGCATCAACATTCGCATCCCCACACGTCCAGACAGACCCCACGAGGAGGCGGAGGACGCTTTGAAGGGTCCCTTTGTTTGGAAAGATCTTTTAGCAACCACCAGCTCCATTGCAAAGGTCTTCAAATCGGATGAGTGACTCAAGGAGAAGTGCAACAACGCAAACTGAGCGAGGTCACCAGTGTAAACAATGAGCCGAGAACAGCGCGAACCCCGCTTTTATACGCAGCCTACGAGACCCTTCAAGCCCGAGCTCCTCAGTAGAAGTAACTTCTAGAAAGACGCACACCCTTTGATGTTTCTGGCACTTTCTGATCCTTCACGCCTCCTCAATTCCTCCCTCTCTTGCTGATCTTCCTGACCCCCTGCGCAAGCTACTGATTGGCTGGAGGCAAGACATGAGGCGAAACCAGGTGTGGGTGACAGGCCCCCAGCTGTTCACAAGAGACTAACAACTGCTACAGGAGATTAACTTAAGCTGCTGCCGCTGCTCACGTCCCCCGTGGGTTCGCTCGCATGCAACCGGACCTGCTGCATGTTACAATTAGCGATGAGTGAGTTTTCCTAGGATGAATAAAAGCAAATGCATTTGTATCATAGTCAGCAAAGCCCATGAAAAGACCAAAACCACTTATATATTCATCCTGCTAAGCAGTATACCACCGGGTGATTAGCCCCCTCAGCTGTACTCGGAGCACCATTGCTCAGATTTAACACTTGCTTTTGAGGAACGACTTTAAAAAGACTAAAACGTGCAGCTTCACCCAGTCTTTTATTTTCTTTCTAAACGCTTTTGTTCAACAATGACGCCCTGTGGCCAAGCGTAAGATGAATGAGGTCAGAATGCACAGGTGACACTTGTGCAACACTTCATAGCAGTATTAGTACAGCAGCTCTGTCTTTAAATGAAGTCGGTACATAAACAACATTTCAAAATCAGAGTTTGGACAAAAGGTAAACCAGAAGTAAATCTGACTGTTCTCAACGGTGGCTAATCAGCACCTTCGCCTACCGGCTGTTGGAGGCCAATCTCCCCCTCCTATGCTCAGTGTGTAGGCGCACACACCACAGAGAAGCAGACCCACAGACACACAAACACACACACCAGAAAGAAATAGGACAAGTCCACCATCAGATGTGTTGAGGGTTCATGTTTTTAATCCTCTGGTGTGGCAACCAGCTTTCTAATTAGACATATAAAGCCACCTTCTGAGCCATCGATGAACCCCCATAGTTACACTGATACTGTGTCAGTGGGATCGGCGAGCACCACATCCGCACATCAGCGCTCTACTCACCGAGGTTAGGAGATCCTGATGAGCTAGGCTTCGGTACCGTATCTCTCTGCGTGGAGAAAATAAAGAAAGACGACATTTTTAAGGCCAGTTTCTCGTGCTTTTATCAACAGAGTCAGATTATAAAATTATACAACATTGCACACAGTTAGTCTTTATTAACAAGAAGTCGAGCCGCAAATGAGCCGGGAAAAGCGCCCCGACAGAAGTGGATTCACGCGGCGTCTGTGAGGGGATGAAGTAGCTTCATGCACCACCTTAATTTCTTTTACGATTCCTATTTTGTTCCCAGTCTTCTGTCTTACTCTTACATTTTTGAATGAGACAAAAAAGAGGAAATAATGTCAGAAAACGTACAACACTGGAATTTATAAAGTCTGAGTTATATTTCACTTTAGTTTGTTTAATAAAAATAACAAATGAAAAACAAATGAGATTATTTGTTCCACTTCCTGATATAATTGGACATTACAGCCCTTTAAAATAAGATGTCCACCACATTGTGTGCTTAAAACCCAGAAACGTGTCCACACGAGTCACTGCGTGCACGTCACTGTCCCTTCATGCACTCTCTCTACTTTCAAGATTAGGCTTCAAACTTTCCTTTTTGCTAAAGCATATAGTTAGGGCTGGACCAGGTGACCCTGAATCCTCCCTTAGTTATGCTGCAATAGATGTAGGCTGCCGGGGATTCCCATGATGCATTGAGTTTTTCCTTTCCAGTCACCTTTCTCACTCACTATGTGTTAACAGACCTCTCTGCATTGAATCATATCTGTTATTAACCTCTGTCTCTCTTCCACAGCATGTCTTTATCCTGTCTTCCTTCTCTCACCCCAACCAATCACAGCAGATGGCCCCGCCCCTCCCTGAGCCTGGTTCTGCTGGAGGTTTCTTCCTGTTAAAAGGGAGTTTTTCCTTCCCACTGTTGCCAAGTGCTTGTTCACAGGGGGTCATATGATTGTTGGGTTTTTCTCTGTATCTATGAAGCGCCTTGAGGCGACTTATGTTGTGATTTGGCGCTATATAAATAAAATTGAATTGCTTTCTGATCAGCGCTCCATCAAATCAATTAACGCTAAAAATCCCCAAAAATAATTTTTAAGAAGTATGACTTGTAGACTAGGACAACCTTAGTCCTCTTGATGCTCCAGTGAGCTCATATTGTGCACATGCATAAGAGACGGTGTATGTTTGGGAGTCGTGGGCGCGGTTGTTGCAAAATGTTTCGACAGCCCTCGTATTGAATGTGGAAATTACAAGCAGCATCATCATCATCGACGCTTCTGTTTACGCCCGCTTCAGTGTCACAGTGAACACTGAATCCTGCCGTCACGGTCAAACAGCAAATTCTCGTTTCATCATCAATCCAAAAGTCATTTTAACATAAACATTCCTCCAGATTTCTCATGCTTGACAAAATAAATCCCGTCTGAAGGTTTCTACGTGTCATCACTGCCAGCGTTGCACAGAGCACTAATGGTAATCGAACCACAGAAGAGGACACAGGAAGTGATATGCAACTCCTTCGTGCAACATCACATTAAAGTCCAGGCCTGTAGAGCGCAATCAAACCCAGCGTGGCCTAATCGTGGCTGCTCGCCGTGTTTCGAGTGTTTACCTTATTCTTGCTGCTGGTGCACTCCCCCAGCAGAGACTTGCAGCTCTTGTGAACGTTCACAGCGCAATCTGAAAAACACCAGGGCAGAAACTTACAGTCAGTGTATCATTAGTCTTTGCAGGAGCAGGTTTATACAAGACCACAAAGTTTTGGCAATGATGCATGTTTGAAATGAAAAAGAACAACATTTGAGCAGCTCCTGAAGGCGACGCCATCACAAGTACAAAGCTGTGATTCAGACAAGGCAAAGAAACAGAAAGCTGAAGGACAGCACTTTCAGCTCATGCAAACAAATCACAATGTTTGTTTTCAGGCATGTATTTGTAAAGTAAAACTGGTGGGACTGGTGCAACAGTGGCTGTGGCTTCTGTTTGTTTCCCCATAAAGACACAGAGTCAGAGCGCAGTCGGACCAGCAGCTTCCTTTTTCTCAGTAACAGGTTTATGTTTCTGTCTTTATTAAACCCAAAGCTGCTGCTGCTGCATGTTTAGATGACATGGCTGTATATACCTCTCTGCTAATTACACAGATAAAAGCTGTTATGGAAAAATAAACTGGGGGTGAGAAAAGTTCTCCTCCATCGCGTACGCGATTACTGAGATCTTGCAACCTGGCAGCGTGCAGTACAACACATACTGTAAACGCCCGAAGCCTTTTCTGCAGGACAAGGCTAGCCAAACAAATTAGTCATGCTTCAGCATGCAAAGCGTGTTCCCATCGCTTCCAGGTAAAACCACGATAATACAAACAAGACGGACAAGTACATGGTTGCGTACGCAGACTGAAGCCGTAAAACCTTATCTACGCTGTGACTGGTGAAAAACAAATTTCAGCTGACTGCGTCAAGTCAGTGCATCACAAGAGAAAGTGTGACGTCGCACAATAACTCGTTCACTGATGATGTTTATGTCCTAAAGCTTCATTGTCAGCGCTGCCTCCTTTACACCGACGCAGGCAGCGTGGCGAGTGTTTGAAATCAGGCTTTGTAGCTGGCTGACAAAGGTGACGCTGGCGTGAGCCGTACCAGCAACTTCCACTAAATGCTAAAAGTTTCTAGTCCTTACCCCTCCCTTCTGAATGCTGGTACCACAATACAGCTGCTACAATGGAGACAAATGATAAGTCTGTATCTTCTTACCCAGAAAAAGCATGAAGCAGTGAGACGTTTGTGTGTGAAAACGCTCTGCATGCAGCTTTTTGCCTCTTAGCTTTTTTCTCTGTGTCTGCTGCTCGCTCGCTCTCACAATAAATGAACAATTGCTGGCTCAGCTGAAGGAAAAGAAAACAGAAACTGGCTTCTGAATAATCTGAACCAGCACCGCTGTGCCTCTCTTTGAGCTGTATTCAGCAGATATATACTTAAATTGTGAATAGCAACTAGAAGCACTTTGCGTTGAATCTAAGCCCATTTTCCCCTTTTAGACTTTGTTTAGCAGCTAAAGGCTGGACAAGAAGGAACTTCAGAAGAAACTAGAAATTTCCAACTTTTCATCCTGATTCAACTAAAAGATGAAAAAGAAAAGAAAATGTAATCTTCTTGCTAATCTGGCTGTTCCACAGACGAGCTCAAATTCATTGTTTAATGACGACAACCGGCCCCACGGGCAAGGCTCATTCCTCTTTCTTCCAGAGCTCTCGTCCACCTGCTCCTTACTCTCACTACAGAGCACAATGTCATCTGCGAACAGTCCACAGAGACTTGACCGATCTGTCAGCCTGTCCATCAACACTGCAAACACAAAGCCCACCTCCGACTCCTACCACACAGCTCACCACTGTGTCACCGTCCCGCACTTCCTTATGCAGTACGGCAGTTCTTCTCTTGGAAAGGTACTGAGAAGCAGACGGGATTAATAATTAAGTATATCTGTGTGGGGTTTAAAAAAAATCTATGTCATTGCAATATTATCAGTCAGTAGAAGTAAAAGATTAACCTTAGATAAGCAAGAACAGTAGGTTTTCTGCTCACTGATATCACCGAGCTTATCATTGCAGCTTGTTAACAATAGCACACTGTGCACCAGTCATGCTGAACACACGGGTGGTGACAGAGATCAAAGTAAGCAGAGCTCAGGTGAGGAGGGTAGGGCTGTTCGATATAACCATATATATCTGATGACGATATAAAAACGTCTGTCATTTCATTTTACGCTATCGTTTGTTTCATGGTGTCACAAAATAAACTGTTTACAGCAATATTTGTTCATTGTTCTGATGTCACTGTAGTGTTTATATTCATTTATTAAAGTTCTCTCTTTCTCTTATATTTAAAATAACCACACTACGGACGGACAAGCGCCTGTTTTTATGCGTTGTCATTAGCAACAATGAAGGTAACAGCATCGCGTGTCCGCTTGTTTATGTTCCACACAAACCTTTCACAATAAAGCTCAAGACCCTGTTGAGACTTTTCAAAATAAACTGAATCACGTGAAAGATGCAGATTATTTACGGATGAGAATTAAAAAAGAGCCGCCAGGTGCTAAAAAATAAACCTTAGACTCAAACGTTAGAACAGGCTTTTCCCCGCAGCAGCCGTGTGATAAATACTCACAAAGAAAACGGCGCCGTTACAACTTATGTCTAAAAATGTATCGTTTCAGCATCGGTTAAAACTCCAGCTACACGACGCACAGCTGGAAACACTTCACACAAGACGAGCTGCCCGAGATTCACAGAATTTACAGAAAATGTTACATTTTTGTGATTTATATCGTTATCGGACGATAGATGTCTGATATCGGGAGATGAGGTTTTGGTCATATCCACAGCCCTAGAGGACGGGATCGGGTATCATCAGCTGGACGACTGATACTATTGAGAAATGTCAGAAGTTACAGTTACTGATGTCAGTCGCTGATCCACGGGACACTCGGCTCCCTAACAAAACCACGACCACACCCAACATCTGCTGACACCCCATCGCACAACAAGTCTTCTTGTGGTACAGAGTGCACACTTCAGTGAGTCACAGTGAACTAGAAGTGAAAATGATACTTTGCTCTCTGCTGTAACTGATAGAAAATTAGAAGAAAAAAAAAAGCTGTGCTGCTACTCCACTTCTAGAGAAAATGTGTTATCTCACATGCCCGGCATTGGATTTGGCAGAGGTCAACAGAAGAACAGGGGTTTCTTCCAGGAAAGCATTATTTCACACATCACATCATGTAAACACTGTTTTCACACGCGGCCCAGAAACGCTGTCAGGTTGTGAAACTGCAGTTTCCGTCGCAGGTGGTTTTACAACATGCAATAACAAAGGATGCACATTTTAGATCCTAAAGCAGCTGTGAGTTTGCAGATGCTGGCTTTGAATCTATTTAGAAAGAATTTAAGAACGCCTGGCTACCTGATGGTGCTCGGGTGGCTCAGATTCAAGCAGCTGTGCATTTCTGTCAATCTTAAGCTCTTGTTGCGATCCTGCTTCACACACACAAATGTCTTTACTTTATTCCTTACTATATGATAGATGCAGATTGAAGGTGCAGCCTGGTTTGTGGAAAATATATATAACTCATAGCAAAGACAAAGTGCAAAAACACAGGAAGCTGTTGTGTTAATTCATGTGAAAGCAATAACCCTGTCACAGCTCTAAGTATAGGCTTTAAACCATAGAGGCTAGCACTGCAATTGCTGTCAAGGGCCACAAGAGCTCATTTTAGGTCACATCCACTATTCACTTACAGCCTAATGACAACTTAAACAAAAAACACTGACTATAGACGCTTGCTGTGAGTGGATCCAGTGGCTCTGTTATGACCAGAATCCCATACATGGCATTCAAAGTCACTAAGGCAGTCTGTTTGGTTCCCATGACTTAGAGAACCAGAGCCCTTTGTATGTGAACGTCGTTCGATTTATGTGAATGAAAAGCATTTTCAAGCATGTCCTCTCGGTCAGATAACTTCCACCCATGTATGAATTCTCTTAAAAGCTTGTTCAAGGCCTGCACGGGGTAGGAGTCTCTCCTGGTTGACCCAGGGTGAGACGGGGTACTCCGAGGACAAATCCCCGGTCCACTGCAGAGCTGACACAAACAGCTATTAAACCATGGATATGGATATCCACAGTAACTAAATGCATGCCCATCAACTAGATAGGAAACCGAGAGAAAAGAGTGAGAGCATGTAAGCTACAATAGAAGTTAAACATATCACCCTTCCACAGAATAACTTGGACAGTGCAGTGTCACAATTTGAGAGGAAATTAACTTGACGGTAAAGTTCAATAAGTAGGCTGCTTATCGTTTTGAACCATGTGAAAACCATGTGTGACCCTAATCATTCTTTTCAGTTCAAAGAAAAACCGTATTACCGCAAATAGCTGATTGACTAAAGGTAAAGAGGAAAACAGGTCACTTTAAAAAAACATTCAAGCACAAAGCTTCCTGTGCAATCATGCATGCAAAAAAAGAAAAAGAAAGAAGTTACTCTTAATCCCCAAAAACACTAGCGACAAAAACATTTGGGACAAAGTCCAAAGAGGCCAGACAACCCAATGACATCATCTAATGAAACGGGAGGGAAGCGGCGCGGTTTACAAAGTGAAGTGAAACATCTCCACCAAAAGAAGACCACCAATAATCTAATGCACAACATAAATTAGCACAACAACCATGCCTTCATTGTCGTACACTTGACCTTGCTTGGGTTTGAACTATTAGATTAATCTGGTTCTCACTCCTGGAAATAATGGTCCAAACCATTCTACTTTTTCTTGGTAATGGTGCTTTTTCCCCCCCATTTCCTGATTAATTAGGCCAAAGGTTACCAGTATAAAAGTAGACAACAATGGTCCACAGGAGGAGAATACTAGTGTGAGAGCCAAACCTTCAATCGTGTAAAATGCAAACATTCAGAGAGCCGGGCATGCTTGAAGGAAAGGCAGTGATGCATAAAGAAGTGTTGTGCTAACAGGCAGACATGGGCGAGACCCAGAGTCAGTGGAGTGGGCTGTTATGCACTGGTAGACCCTGCCAAGCACAATTAGCACCATGTGACCCAGTCAGAACAGAAAGGCTGAAGAGTGAGGTGACAGGCTGAATGGTCACCCCTCAGCCTGGGGCATTCCTATCGCCTGATGCCAGCAAAGCTCTGGCAGAGGGGCATCACCTGCCCGGCTGAGGAATGGGAAGCATCTCATTTAATACACTGAAGAATATACATTTAAGGAATAAAAGCTGCCTGGGTCTCAGTCAGCTAAGAGGAGGGAGCAAAGACAAATAAAGGAGGCTGATGGAAACGAGGTGGAGACAGCCTCGGTCAACACTGCTCTAGCATTACTGCTGTAAACGTGAATACACGTTACATGAGAGGAAACGCCAGTAAATTAGACTTCAGGCACACCAAGTTTTCTTGGAAGCTAACGCTAGCAATCACCTGTTGAGCTTCGTGCAAAGTCTACAACCGGCAGCAGAGCAAAGTCACCGAAAAACCCACGTAAAGTTCAACAAACAGACGAGTTTCGTGGCGTTGTGGGTTTGTTTACGCCACAAAGACACAAGCTTTCAGCTAACCTTGTGTTTCGAGAAGGAGAGGTTGTTCGCGAGCTAGCACGCTAAGCGCTGCGAGGCTAATAAGTAGCCAGCACTACGCTGAGAATAGCTGGGAGCTAATTTGGGCCAGCTAAGTATAAATTAAACTCTCGGGGAAGTAAATGTGTCTTGCCCTTATTATCACACCGAGTCAACACTGGAGGGAAAAGAAAAAAGCTCCTAGTTGGCTTTGATTAGCTCTTAGCTGGCTTAGCTAACGACAGGGATGACTGAAAAGTCCACAGAGGGAAACAACGGGAGTTATCCACCTGATCCCGCTTGAGACCATCGCTACAGTAGCCGCTTCTTACCGCCCAAGAAGACTCGGATTTGCCTGAATCAGCTGCATCCGGAGGGAAATGTAGTCTGTCCGTGAGTTAAATAAAACACACCGGCCAGTGAGATCAGCAACAAGTATCCCACATACTCGGTTTTGTCCAGTTTGTGTCTCCACTGGGAACAATCTCTGGCATACAAACGACGCATTCCACAGGCTGAATCCCCACAGGGCTGAGTTCAAATTAAAGGGACACTCACTTGTTTTCTCACGCCTGTGTCCGCGGAACAACAACACATGAGCATCTAGGGTTTGTGACTTCATTCAGCAGCAGCAGCAGCGATGATGATTGATGGATGGAGAAATGTAACAGATGCATTATTATAATTATTATTATTGTTTTATCCAGATTGTTTAACACAATCTCGGAGAGTGAAAGAGCCTCAGCATCGGAGGAAAAGTGTACTGGTACTGATTTTCAGGAACAAGGGTGATGTACAGAGCTGAGGCAGCTATAGAGGGATACAGCTGATGAGTCATACCGTGAAGATATGGGAAAGAGTTGTTGAGAGGTGACGATAAGTGAACAGCAGTGTCCTCATGCCGAGAAAGGGCACTACAGACATGTTTGCTTTGAGAGTGCTGATGGAGAAGTGTAGAGAAAGTCAAAAAGAACTGCACTGTGGTTTCTGTGGATCTATGAAAGCAAGAGAGGAACTGTGGTACTGCGTGAAGAAGGATGTGAGGGCGGTGCAGGGTGTACAGCAGGTTTAAGGGCAGGTTCAAGGTGAGGATAGGATTACACCAGCAATCTGCTAAGACCCTTCCTTCTTCTTTGACACAGTGATGGAGGCTCTGTGGACTATGATATTTACAGGCAACAATGTGATCTGTAGTGAGACCGGGGAGCAGGTGGATGAGAGCCTGCTTCATCCGCGAGTATTAGGGATGATTTGCAGCAGAAGGATAGCAGCAAAATGAAAGAGAAGGTTTACAAGATGACAGTGTATGGTTGAAGATGCTCAGACTTTCACTGGGAGTGACCAGGATGTACAAGGTTAGATGTGGATATGCTGGGCAAAGGATGTTGAAGGGAGGAAGAAAAGGAAGGAGGACAAAAGAGGGGATTCGTGGATGTAGTGGTATGTAGAGGGTCGTTGTGATGATGCTAGGGACAGGGTGAGATGGAGGCAGATGATCCACCCTTAAGGGGAGCAGCTGAAAGACGAAGATGTCAAAAAAGAGGCAGTCCAAAGAGGAAGACACTGAATGTGTGGCACGCCGAGCCTCGCTGAAGGATACCAGAGCAGCTCTGTTTAATAAGCAAACATAAGAAACAACCATATATTACATCCTGACCGCCAGACCGCACGGTGTATAAATATCCTGGATGTATTATGGCCTTTGTCTGCCACAGAATAGAGGGAGAAAGGAAATATTGGGTTATAGTCATGAAATAATGAAGCAATAGCACAGAATGACTAAATGCCCCCAGTGCTGCCATCCACATGTGCCAGTGAAAGCAAAGAGAAATGGTGATGACATTGAGAACACTTCTGTTTCCTTGTTACTGGAAACTTTATTTGTTGATGTGAAATTCTCAACAGCCAGACCACATGGCTTATGAGAAGACGGCCTCTGGTTTACAATAATGTCAGCACATGTGACAAAAGTCCACACTGCCAGCATCAGTCACGGTGATGGAAAGGAAATACCCAGTAGGAGTTTAAAACTGTCACTTTAACAAACCTGTATAAACATAGATGTAACATCAATACTGAGAGTGTGTCTAGAACCATCCATTTTAACTGCATCGCTTTAGGTTTGTGGACATTTCTTTATGCTCTTAAGGTCCGCCCACAGCATTCCTGTCACTGCCCCTCCTAGAGTCCTGAACGAGATTTCTTCCTGTTTAAATGGAGTTCTTCCTTCCCACTGTTGCCAAGTGCTTGCTCAAAGAGGTCATCTGTATTATTGTAGGGTCTTCGCCTTCCAGTATAAAGAGCCCTGCGGCTGTTGTTGTGATTTGGTGCTGTATAAGTTAAACTAATTAAATGTAAGTGACCTGACTTGAAGGTGCCATCGAAACACGTCGATTCTTTTCTTTTTCAGTCATTCTGCTGTAACATTTGCTGCTGTGCTTGGGATCATTGTCCTATTGTGTGACCCAGGTTTGGTCAGACAGACAATCTCACATTTGCCTCTAGAATACTTTTGTATACTAAGAAGTGCACAGTGGACTCAGTGAGTGCAAGGTGTCCAGTCCCGGGGCTGCAAAACAAGCTGAAAGCATTGCCCCGCCCACCACTGTGCCCAACAGTTGATGTGAGGTTGTTGTGCTGGTATGCTGCGTTTGATTTTCTCCAAACGTGGCGCTGTGGTTTGGTCAGATGCAGTTTTGAAACCTGTGCTGCCATCGTCTTTATCAAGAGAAGAGACTTTTTATCATTTTACTGACATGAAGCCAAACATTTGACACGCAAACTAGTTTTACTTGAGTAAAGTTGTCAGACACGTTATGGTCAGATGTGAATAATACAGACTAAAGGTTCTTAACTCTCGTCTACGTCCACTAACACGACTGCCATTATTAAAGAGTTTCACTGGGAAACTTCTTCCATGCACGGTACAAGTAGTTCATCAGAAGCTGTTGCAGTTATTTATAATCTTCCAAATGTGCAAAGACACATTCGATAACATTATTCTGACTATAGCCTGTACGCTGCCCTTGATTGGCTTAAGAGTAACAGACCAATGGATTCATGAAGCTTTGGTTACCTTGAGACAAAGCGAGGCTCAGCTTTTTCACTTCGAGCTCATTCAACACGTACAAGACAGCAGAAATCTGAAATATGTTGCAAACTAGAAAAACAAATTTAAGGCGAGCTGCAGCTTCACCGAAACATCTGCAAGAATTTGTCCAAACAAGTTCACTGAGGTGTGTGACCTGATGAGGTAAAGTAATGATGAGGCGGGAAAGGGGCAGGCTGTGTCATCTTAACATCTAACAAGGGAAGGGAACGCCTTATTTTCAGCAAAATGTCTTCAACAGCCCCAAAGAGGAGCCGCAGTCCCTGTGACGGGTGGTGAAAGCTGCTGTCTGATTCACATGTATGTGCTTTGACGTCAGTGTAAGGAGGCTGAACGGGTGTTTAGTGAGCACAAGCTCTTCGTGTTGTATGTGCATGTGTGTGTGGTTTGTTTACCTGTGTGCATGAGTGTGCCACTAAGTGGGCGAGTGAGTGTGCATGCAGTATAAATAGATGCGAGCTTGTGCATGAGCGCGGCACCTGTGCACATATGTGTCCGACTGAGAAGAAGCGTGGGTGCGTGTACACCTGTGGCTGTGGTGTTACTCACTCGTGCACTGCAGGCCATGCTTTTTCTGCAGCGCCTTGCTGCACAACGAGCACGTGGCACAACTGGAGAAGGAACCTGGCACCAAATGATGCCCATTGCTGTGAATGCCACACATTTTCTCTTTGGGCTCCCTGTCCTTGTCCTTCACCTTGTCTTTCTGAGGCTCTTTTTCGCGGTTCTTACCCTGCAGAGGAACAAGGAAAGAGGCAGATTGGTTTTTTCATGCACATGTTGTGTTCTTCAGACATAATAAACATGATATCTCATGGCTGAGGCAGGACATACAATTCGGATAGAGATTGCAGTCTGCTTTAAAATGCAATCATTAGGCCAAACGTGCCACGCACTTCAGTGCAAAAGGTACATTTATATTTCGCCATGAAGTCGTAGGGGCTTCACAGGATTACCTTGTCTTTATTGAAGGAGCCGGTCATCCTGTTCCTGAGAGAGCTCAGAGTCCTTTTTACTTTTGTGCCTCTTTCCACCTTCTCTATACGATCCTCCTCTTCTTCATTCCTGGTAGATGAGCAAGAGAGTAAAGTATAAACTACAGGCTAGTGTAAAGACACCACAGCATCTCTGTGGCGTCTTTTTCTTCTGCTTTCAGCCTTTAAAGGGTGAGATGGAAGCAGATGATCCACTGCTATCCCTGGCTTTAAAAGCATTATGCTCTTTGTTGAGTTTCAATTGACTTTTTTGTGCAGCATCAGGTCATCTCAGGGAGCTTTACATAGTAAGGGAATAAAAACCCATAAAACTTCCCCTGAAGCACACATCAGAAATTCATCCTGGCAAACAGGGGACATTGTTGATTAGTAACAGTTTTCTGATGGTTTCTATAAAAACAAACCACATTATTGCAGAACCAAGAGCAGCCTGCACTGTATCAGCACTTTGTCTTTCACTGCTTTCAGTTTTGTATCCCGTCACCGACGGCTAATAAAACTCCTCTCAGGACTCGCTGAGATCACAAACATCCCAAATGTGAGACGATCAGCTTCAGTCACAGGGGAACAACGGTGAGGGCCGTACTTACTCGTTAGAGAGGAACTCGTACCAAGTGACACTTCCTGAATCTTTGGCGTCTGATCTGCTGCTTCTCTGCTTCTCTCTGTCAATGACAACAATGACAATGAAAGACTGGATTCAAAAATCTCCAAATGTGAGAAACGTGTTTGTCATGGCTCGAGTCTTTAAACTGTACAAAAACAAAGAGTGTGGTTTAGACTCGGTGAGTGTTTTCCCAGTGATAACAGCAGTGTCACTGCACAATGTCAACATGCAAAACATGGCAACAACATGCTTGCACTTACAGTGCAGTGTGTGCACACGCACGCTCTACAGTCTGGCTCTGCTGGTGCTTTATAGACTGGGACGCCGCTACAGCAGTGAAAGCACGCAGACCTCCCTCTCCTGTTTACTTACCCGTGGTACTTCTTTAGCTCCTGCAGAACTTTCTGTACCATCACCCTGAGACAAACAAGACACTGAGACTAAGTGGAGGAGAACAATTCTAGGAGCTGGGTGCTGATTTTGAGAAGAATCCTCCCCCGTGTGCTGTGTCCGCACACCGCCCGGGTACATATAAAATAACCCTCCCCCTCACACACACAGACACAAAGGGGCCATCTAAGGAGCTGGGAGAGGGAACTGTGGGAGGAGAAGGTTGCTGACATATGACATGGAGCAGAAATGTCAGCAGAGAGTGGGGAAAGCCCCTCTGCTATGTGGGAGTGAGAGAGCTGCAGCTCACCATTTAAAGCTACAGAGCAGGATTTGCACTGCTGCACTAAAGGAGTCAAAAACTGCAATAATACAATCCAACATAGTTTAGAAGACGTGTTTCCTAATGTAATCAAACTACTTCCTTCTTTCAAACATCTTTAAACTTGCACTCGACAGAAACGGCTTCTCGAACACGGTGAGAACGAGCAGCTATGTTGATGTAAATGACGTGTACTCACATATGCGTCTGTCCTTCAGTAGAATGCAGGTTTTCTTCCGGGTCAAATTCCTCAGCTACAGGTGAAAAAGATAAACTGGTCAGTTATGAGGAAAGATGCCTTCAGGTGATAAAACCTGAACTTAGATTTGTTCTACAGGCGTTAAAGCCGCCGGCCCACCTCCTGCTGCCCTGGCAGCCCGTTTGGACGTCTGTACAACACGAGAAATGTGTGCAGCACGGGAGCAATCGTCTGTAGCAAGGATCTCTGAGCGGGAGTATAGCTGCCTGCCGGGCTCGCCGTGGTCCTGACAGAAGAAGAATAAACGCACGTGTATCCACTCCTCAGCAAGCAGCGCACACACACACTTACTGTATACGATAGATTTCTTATGCAGACGGCAATTTACATTCAGTTATTTTGGTCAATGTGGTCAGAAAGTTCTTTGTGGTTCAGTTAATTTGTTGTTTAGTATCAAATATCCAAGCTGTGGTCACCTACAGCTTTCCTATCGTCCATATGTCCCAGACCAAAAGTCCTCTGGGACTTCCAGTCTTTTCCAAAAACTATTAGAAGCTCACTGGTTGATGTGTTCATTCATTGCAGTGTCACAGAAATGCACCTGCTTGTTCTGAAAGATGAACAGCATCCTGCAGTTTGAGGAAATCACTGAGCTCGAGTTCAGCGCAGAGCTGCACGTCTGTGACGTCTTCAGAGGGAACTAAATGACATTGTTGCTTTTGGTTTGTTGTGAGATAACTTTAACAAAGAAGTTTAGTTCCTCGATGCCACTTTTGAGTTATTACCACCACAGTGACCCTGATTTTTGGGCAGCTTACCCTCAGGCTGAAGCCATCAGGACTGCCGGAGTCCTCCTCAGGACACGGCGAGCAGCTGTAGGTGGACTGGAAAAGACTATTCTGTCGCTCCTCGTCATCATCATCATCATCTCTCTCTCCGTCACTGTCTATGGCCTTGGTGTCGAGACTGAGTCTGGCAGCACGGCAAGCAAACACAAAGCAAATAGATTTACATATACAAGCATGTGCATATACACACACACACACACGTGGGAGACAGAGGGAGTCTATGACTTGTGTGTATTTTCTGTTTTGTCAGTATTTTTGTGCACGTTTCATTTTCACAGCTCAAAGAAGCTTCACCGTCATTATTTAAAAAGCTGTGAAAGACCAACCACAGGAAACGTTCAGCTCACTTAAATAACACAGGCAGAAAAGTGTTTTTGCTTTTGAGCGTGACAACTGTGCTGAGTAATACTGAAGCAAGATGTTTCTCTATGTAGAAACTTTATTATATGACTTATGAGTCAAGTAGATTTGGACTGTAACAGGAGACGCTTCCTCTGAAATGTTTCTGCGTGTCCGGCTCTGCGTCTTACCTCCTCCCCAGGTTGATGGGGGACAGAGGGACACCCCAGCTGTGCCTCCGAGATGTAGACATGGATCTGATTAGAATAGGAAAGCTGTCCAGGTCTGGCTCTCCATCAAAATCTATTGAGCACTGGTCCTTTGCTCCCTCCATCGCCGCTGTCGATGCCGTTTCCATTGATCCTGACAATCCGATCAAATTACTTGGCGAGCTCCGCCCTACTGCAGAGCCTCCACAGAGAGAGTCCTCGCAATCAGTGAACCCACCTGGTAACAACTTAGGACTGAGCTGAGTGACCACAAGGTTGTGAGGAAGTTCCTCTGGAGGCTGTTCGCAGGACGGGAACGGTGCATTTAAGTGTGGGGAGTGCGTGTTCAGAAAAGAGCGTGCAGGTCGGTTTAGGGCTGGACTGTTTGTGTTTAGAGGCTCCTGGAGGTCGACGCTCTCCGCGGCTGCGGTCACTGTGGATGCAGTTGTCTGCGAGGTCGGCGTACCTCCCCGCAGATCTTTTAAGTACTCAGAGTCCCTGAGAGAGGGGCTGATGCTCTGCAAGTCCTCCACACTGCTGCTCTCCTCGATGCAGGGGCAGTCATAGTCGCTCACCACCGAACACGCATCCTGGACAGAGCGCAAAGGCACCCGAAGACAAGACAAACACAGCAGACGTGAATAGAAGTCCTGACACACTTTGGGAGCCTGGTGTGTAAAATGTTAGCGTTCAGATATTCTTTGAACGAGTTCAAGCTGAAGCTGACCGGCACCTGCTGCTAAAGGTCAAGTCAGACAAAAGGGAAGAATTCATTTGTCCATAACGGACCTCGGATCACTATTATTTTGGTAAATTTCATTGCATTTGTTGAGAACCTAAAATAATAGTAACGCTCAGTGTTCAGCTTCACCTGGTCATCAGTGGTCCACCCAAAGGAGACGTCCTCAGTGACAGAAGCAGGAGATAATGAGGAGGAAGATCCTTTTGCACTGGTAGGCTGGACACTGAGAGGAGCACTGGGAGGCTCACAGGGCTGACTGCAGGGCTTGCTCTCTGATGCTAAAAAGAAATCATTTGGCATTTATTAGTCTCGATAAACACAAATATACAACCGACACGAGGAGAAGAGGCAGACGTCATCAGCTGTCTAACACCTGTGGAATGCATTTGAACAGTTGCAGTGAATAATGGAAGAAGGCCCGCCGGCAGCCCTGCTCCAGCCCCTCGCTGAAAGCTCCTTTGCATTTCCATTGCATAAACAGATTCCTCGATTCACATGATGCCACAAACCGCCGTCACCACTGGCAACTGCTCAGCGAGCCAACATTAGTCTCCATGTCATTTCTGGGAGGCTGGCGATTATTCCCTTGCTGAGCTTTCAGCAGCCCCAGAAGCAGCTTGCCTGCAATAAATCATATAATATACCAGTGCGCTCATGTGACGTGAGGGGAACAGACACAGAAGACGCAAACGTGGAATTTCTGGATCTTATTCTGGAGCTAAAAGTGTCATTTTATTACTGAGACACGATAAGAGCAAACAGGTCAGAGTTTCACGGCGTCACGTCCACTGGTGGGGCTCCAGCCACACCGTTTATTCTGTTTTCCTCATTCAATGTAAAAATGGGCTTTTCCCAATGATATATGTGTAATATGTGTGTAAACTCAGGAGGGGAAAAAGAGGATATGATGCATGTAGTTAAAAAGAAGGTGCAGATATAAACACTGGAATTTCCCCTCAATAATGCAGCGATAAGTAAATATTTCAAAGACATGGCAACAAACAGCTCGGTGCTACAGCTGTGCTTCGGCAGCCCGTCCAGCCATGAGGAGTATTACTGCATGTAGCCTCCAGAGTTTGAGCTCGAGTTGAGCAGAGAGCGCTCCGGAGGATTTTACCAGAGCCTCTAAAACCAAAAAAGTTAAGACAGATTTTATTGACATGTTTTTTATGTTTGATTTCAGCTCAGTGTGGGAGTAACTCCTGCTGTTTTGCTGCTCAGCCCACTCTCGGTGGGCCTCTCTTATCACAAAACGGGCACATCAGAGCCAATCAGTATGTTTTTCAGTGCTAATACAGGCTGAGATGCAGCTGATGTGTCTGTTTGTACTTCGTTCAGATGGTCGTACAAGTCCAGTCACTTCTGGTGTAGAAATAAAACACCCCAACATCATATATGCAAGAGCAGAAAACCATCATGAACAGCAGTTGTTGCTTTTCGGTCTAAGAGATACATTTCTTGAATACTTGCCAGATCCTGTAGAAGATGTCCGGCTTTTTAGCTGCTGATTGCACCAGCGAGTCTCTTAACACAAATATTAATATTTAAAAAAAAGATCAACTTAAATGACGGAAGCTTAAAACCTGAAAGACAAACATTACATAACTCGATCACGCAGACGGTCATCAAATAATCGGCTAAAGGTTGGTAGTTTGATCCCTGCTGCTCCAGTCTGCACGCCACATATCCAGGATACTAGCCCCAAACGGATCCATTGGTTGTGTGACTGTTAGATAAAAACACTAAAGCATAGAAAACTGTGCCTGTATGAATGAATGGGTGTGAATGGATGAATGAGGCCTGTTAGTGCGGAACCAGTCCATTTACCAGTTACCATGACACCTGGGGGGTGTGTGTGTGTGTGTGTGTGTGTGTGTGTGTGTGTGTGTGTGTGTGTGAGTGAGTGTATAAATACATATATAGATATAAGACACAAAGCTTGCCTATTTTGTTATTGTTGACTTTTTATTACGTTTACCAACTATTATTTTACGCATGACTCTAACTGCATGCGTGATTTTGGTCTTTGATTGCTTATAAGAACGGTGCCTATAAATAAAATTATTATTTTATTTTTTCTATTCCTACTTGAGTTATATCCTGGTTACTGTGCGCTGGTGAAGGGTTGTTTGCAATGAAAAGTTTTATTCATTTCTATTTATCATCATACGTGTCTCCTCTTTAGTGTTGTGTTGATTTGATGCGTCTTCCAAAAGACATCTTGAGCTCAGTTAGACTCAGAAAAAAAACGAACCTTCTAAATCACCATTAACCATCAGAGCACACAGACACCACACACACACACACACACCACACACACACACACACACAACACACACACACACACACACACACATCACACACACACACTCACACTCTAACTTGATGTGTGTTTTTCCCTCTCTCAGAATCACTTTTGAGACCTCGGCAGTGGCTGAACGCTATGATGAAACGCAGACATCGTGTCCTGCTGTAAACCAGCAGCATCCACTCCCGGCTTCAGCGGCGCAGCCAGGGATGCTGTCATATAAACACACAGACAGACGCGCTGTAGATCCAGTTTTCTATATTACTAAATCACAGGCCGAGGCTGCAGCGGTGGCAGTGTCCTCACTGGAAGGAGAATTTGTTTGCGTCCCGATCCTGCTCGTGTTGAGTAAACTTAAGACAGCCAGTACAGGCGCTGCTGCGGTTGCTTAATGCTGCCTTGCAGCGCCACTGTGGCCTTTTATGGTCGGCCTCTCATATCGCCCCCGACGTGACACAGAGACGAAACGCCCGTGTGCGTCCTCAGGTGAGCGCGTTTGTCACTGTCAGCCGTTTTCTTCGCAGTCCGGCTCCACGTACTAAAACTAGTGGCTGTAATGAACAACACCGACAACATGAACGGCTTTACATCTGTGATTTACTCAGCATCGAGCCTCGCTTTACTTTCTAAACATCTCTAAAGAGGTGTTTATTATTCAGCTGCTGTAATGGTGAGTTAAGTCACATGAACTGCGCTGAGCTGCTGAATGATTGCAACCGCTAATTAAAAGGAAAAAGAAACCAGAAGCTGTGCATCAGCGCTGCAGCCGGTGTGACGAGGAGGAAACGATCGCACGTGTTTGCCACAAAGTCTGCCGTTCGTTTGTCTGCAAAGCTAATCACAAGAGGAACTCATGTGATTATGTCAGTTGATTTTGTGATCTTGATGCTTTCTTACACAGTGTGGCGATACATCATCACCCAGTGACACAAACCACAGGAAATAAAACTACAACTCATTTAATAAAACTTACAGCTCCTGTCTGTCTGAGACACAGAGCTCACATTAAGGTTGTGGTGACCATTTAGTATCTGTCACCGGTGCTTGAATCACACAAAGTGTGGGCTTGTGTGTCTCTGTGTTTGCGTGACGGGCTGGAGGTGAAGGCAGAAGCTGTGAGATCTGAGGTTGAAGCAAACATCAAAAAACAACCGTCAGGCTGCAGAGCCTCTTTGATCACAAATGCGCCCGACGGCTGTTTTCACAGAGCTGAGCGTCCCGGGTACTTTGGACGAAAGCAAAGTGGAAACGTTCCACGCTGCTCGTGTGTGCTAAGCATTACATTAAACCACGAAAGCGCAGAAAGCAGGAAACTAGCTGCCGACGAAGCTCCACCTGTTAGTCATGCTTTCTCTAAAAGGATAGAAGGCAACAAGACCAGTGCCACACCAAGTCCCACGCAAAGCTTCACAGCCTGAACTGTCCACGCACGGTGCAGCTCCACCGGTGGACACACAAATTCAGTAATAGATTTATGCTCAAATTTGAAAGGTGCATGGTGACACTGCACAGAGTGAGAAATGACTCACTGAACTTTGCACCAACGTCTCATCTGCTGCACTAACTGTCACCGACCACAAACCCCAACCAGGTCAAACTGGTAAACAACAACGGTGTGAAAATGGCCAAAGGAAGCCAGGAGAACATTAAAATAGCAGCAGCAGTAGCCAGCAGGTATAACGCACATCTCTGGGTCACATCCAGTCTGCAGCCCATGCTGGGTCACCTCCCCCCATCCACCCAACATACCCACGATGGCTGAAACATGAAGTCAGTGTAAAACCAGGTTACCTCTCTTGAAGGACCATCTCTTCATCCAGAGTCTGGAGAAGGATGGCCAGGAGTTGTTAAGAGGAGAGTCCGCCATAGGAGCAGCACAGTGGGTAGGCCAGCAGGAACTGGAGCTCGCTCGCACTCGAGCTCTGGCACCCAGCAAGAGGAAGAGGGAGGTGAGAGAGGGAGGGAGCGAAGAAACGAGCGAGAGAGAGAGGGCGAGCGGCATCAAGAAGCATATCAGTGTGGTGTCTTTAAAAGGGGTGAGGGAGTGGGCTCTCAGACTTCCCGGGGGGGTAGAGCTCTTGTTTTTAGATTCATTCTAAGCTGATTGAATGGCAAAGTAAGGAGGAGGAGAGAGTTGCAGTGTTATTTCAATATGCACTCATGAAATGGATCCATAGCACTGTGCAAACGTCTCCAGTCACCTCTTATTTCTTTGCACTTGGATTCCAACGCGTGCAGGAGTTTGTTTTTCAAGTCATCTCGAGAAACACTCTTTCAAAGCTTTTTCTTTTTGTTGTGTGGATGCTTTTTCCCTCATTTTCAGTCCAGTCATCGTAGCATTTGCTGTTTTTCTTGGTCCACTTAACACTGACCTGTGAATCATTCGAGCATGCAGAAGATGCCCAACTCAAAGGATGAGCCCCTAACAGGAAAGCTAGCCAAGAACCAATTTAAGCACTTTGCACTTTCGGGCCTTGGGAGGAGAAATCCAGCAAAGACCCGACACAGGATGTGACGGAGAATAAAGGTCCGGTCATGCCAAATACTGACTTTCAGGCTTGTTCATTTGTACAAACCTCTTGCTTCAGACCAGTTAGCAGACGCAGCTGTTTTAGAGAAACAAAACAGAAAAGGAGAAGGAAGCATACGCAATGAAAGTACAGGGTAATGATCCATGCTGGGTTTTTCTTAGATTCAGATTCACAGGGAAACTGCACATTACAGAAAAGACCAAGTCTAACAACTAAAGCAGTAAGTTTGAGCTAAAAACAGGAGGTACTGTACCAACCGCTGTCTGCTGCAGCTGCTAGACATGGGGCTTGGCATTTCTTGCAACTATTTCCTTTGCACCAGCGTCGCTGCGGACGACTGTCAGTGCACATCATGTGGAAGACTCTCCCTACTTTCCCACAGATGACACGGCTTGAAGCGTATTACAACCGAAATGTGCTGCACATCATCTCACATTTGATCCACCTCCAGTCACAACCTGTCAAAGTTTATAAAAAAAAACTAAAAACACACAAAGTGCACTTACGCTGGATGGAAGGTCACAAGTGGCAGCGTGTAAATTCCTCCTGTTGGCCAAAAGAGTGAATTAAAGGCAGAAAACCCCATAAAAACAGATGTTTTAAATCCTTCAGATGGGACTGTTCTGCAGGAACGTCGGACTCAAACTGAGCGCATACAGCCAAAACAGTTGCCGTCTCTCAACCCGCTTCCTCTTTCTTTTCTTTCCCCTTTTTTCTGTGTGTCATTCTGCTCAGCTGAGGAGAACCGCACTCTGAATGGCCCACACGTACAGTTTGACACATCACTGCAGCAGCGTGATAGCGCAGCAGTGTGGAAGCGTAACCAGAACGAGTGACCTGTTGGCAGTAAACCTTTGTTACTCACAAAAACAACGTCTCACTCCATCGAAGAGCAATAGTTTCGTCACTGACCATCAGCACACACATATACGCTGAGATGTAGTTTGACGTCTCTGGTGCGTTTTTCTGCTACTACATCTTCTCATTGTGCAGCTTTGTGCTTCCATGCAAAGCATTTACATAAAACAAGTTGGGGAGGAACTAGATGTGCTTATAGTGGTTTCCCTCAGTGCATAACGACGAACGCTGCACTGCTGCTCTTTTACTTTCAGATCTTTTTCTGAATCAAAACTAAGGCTTGTGCAAACCGGCCGTGCAGTCTTTCTGTTTTTCCCCTGAAATCCAACCTACATGCAGAGAATGGAAAGAAAAGTATTTGCAATGTGCAGCTTTAAGATGTCTCTGTGCTTCAGAAAAACACACAAACCTATTGTAGTTATTTTTTTCATTAAGCTTAAATTGGCCAGATGGGGGTGCATCAGTTACTCTTCTGCTTTCCTTTGCAGTGCATGGCTTCACCACAACAGGTCTCAGGCTGAAAAACACGACGACGAGAGCTAATAGGTAAGACTTAGCTCCTCCTCAACCACCATCAAGATACCACTTTGCAGAGCTGTTTAGGTACATGACGATTTTTATCAGCTGCCAGCCACGGCTCTGCGTCTGAACTAGGATGCTGAAGTGTGAGAATGCTTCAGTAATGTTGAGTCCAAATGTACAACTTAAATGTTTTTCCATTTTTATTTACTCCTGTCATTCAATCGTTGCATCTACTTTCCATTTTCTGAGAAAAATACATTTTAAAAATGAGGGACAGTAGAGTGCCTCTCTCCTGACCTGACTGATGAAGATCTGATGCAGAAATTTACATTTGGATTTGTCCCTTTGGTGTCTCTCAGACCATTTCCCGTCTTTAAGAATGGCTTCCTGACAGCCACGCTAACACCGAGACCATTTCTGACGAGACTTCAGTGAGCAGTAGATGGGTCGACTGAAGGGTCAGATCCATCTCTCAGGTCCTGTGTCATCCTTGCAGGACTTCAAGGGCATGACCTTCAGACTATCATGGATGCTATCTGCTGTGCATTTGGTTTTTTCGGCTTGTCTTCCACTTGTCCTGTTTACTCATTTTTTTAAGAATATACTGCACATCACACCAAGATAAGCCAGGTTTCTTTGCAAATAGTCTTGTTGGGGTCATTTGAGGCATCAGTGTTTGAGAAAATGCACAATTTTCTTAACCTTTAATATGATACAAAAGCAGCCAAAGCAGTCTCTAGTAACCGTTCTGCACACCGCATTAAAAAAAAGTAGTAGTCAGCAGATTATGATCTGTATGCAACATTACTGGTAGTGATGGTCCAGTGGACCCTAAAAAACCCCGAGGGCCCAAATGAGCATCAGGTTGTTCTTTTCGCTCAGAGTAATTCAGCTGATGACCAACTTTCCATGAAAAGAAGCCGACGAGGATGCTCAGCTCTGCCCCCCCCCCGGCCTCCAGGAGCGCCCACAAATGCATCCAACCAGCATCTTAAAGGATTTCTACAAATTTGAGCTCCAGGATCAGAAGCAGAAGAAATGTTAAAGCAACATGACAGCTGGGAGTGCTTTTTTGTAACAGGATGGTGAAAGGAGCCTCCTCAGAGAAAGGACTACAAATCTGTGGTGATGTCCTGCTAACCCAAGAAACTCCATCAGCTCATTTTTACATGCTGCCACAGGACATCCACCTGGTGTCACCTGAGCCTGCACTGCCAGCTAGTCCATAAACTCATGTTTTATATTTATCAGATAACTTAAACTAAACAAGGAGGAAGTGCTGAAGACAAATCCAGACGAAAACAACCACAGGGCGACTGTAGTCACGCAGCTTCCTCCCATCATGTGAAAATACTACCAGTATCTCTGGATCTGGGAAACACAGAAGTCCCAGCCAGTACTCCCAGTGCTCCCAACACTTCAACCACATGGACAACACACCAAGATAACAAACGGTCCCGAAAGGAAAACACGATCAGCAGTTTTCCTGTGTGAAATTGTCGTAACTCCTACTGCGCGACTGGCAGGTTTGGAGCCAAACGTAGGGAAGCGCTCGGAAATACAGCTTCACTGCTGAAACAAGGTAACTGTTGGAACGCAAGTACGCCAAATATACCAGGAATACGAGGAACTTGGAACTTACTACAGGACACTATGAAGACACAGCAGAGACGACAAGGGAACAGGTGAGGAACACAGCTGAGCAGAATCTAACTGAGGAGACAGAGGAAGTCCAACTGAACATGACATACATGGGACAAGGACCTAACAAAATAAAACAGGAAGTAGCTAACACAAGGGCCAGAGCTTAGACAGGCTAACTTGACAGAACAAAAGGGAAAACGAGCGACTACAGAGACCGGCACAGAAACACACACGGGGACACAAAGATGGAGACTAGACTCATTTCCACAGGAGACAGAGGACACGGCACAGAGACAAAACTAGGACAGCCCGGACAAAAAGGGAAACTAACACAATCAACCATACAAGAAACCAAAAACTACATTTGTTTTTATTTCTTAAGAACCAACAGCCCAAAACATCTCACTCAAAAAACCAATTAGCTTAACCAATCAACTTGTTCATTTGCATAACAAAGAAATGAGGTCCACATGTAAAGGTGAAGAAAAGCAAAACAAGAGCTAAACTAATGAACAACAGCATCAAGGCATTCAAACCAGTGACCAGCGCGCAGTGAAACCAAAGCAAATAAAAGCCAAGTTGGAAACCATCTTATATGGAGAATAGCAACCAGGTGATGTCACTTCCTGTAATAGATGACAGAAGCAAATCATTAGGACCTGAAAAGGAGGAAGCAAAAAGCAGACCCGACCACTGAGACCACAAAGCCTGGCGGCCGTCACTTATCTTTGGCACTCGATTCACTCGCATAAGTAGTTTTTAGAACAGGTGGCAACAAAGTAACAGCCGTGTTACTGCGTCAAGTGTAGCTGCTCAGACATCCTTAGACACAAAATACACAAAGATTCATTAATGCAGCTCTACATTTATTTATAAAGTCACTGGTGTCGTTTGTGTTGTACTTGAAGTTCCTCTCACTCGTTACATTTAATGAATATCCTGATTTAATCAGTGACAAAACCAACAAAGCGGAGCGTCTGATGCTGTTGCGCTCCACAGGGTTTAATCGTCACTCATCCCAGTGCTACAATCCCAACGGCAGATCCTTCTGTTCTAACCCTGTGCTGCTTTTTATATGCCAGTGACAAAGGAGTGCTCATGTGAGATGAGTTGGATGAAGGCATGGTGACATTATCCAACAAAACTTTATTTTGAGACCTTCGCAGTAATCAGTCAGACGCTCACGTCCCGGTTTAAAGCTCTTTCCAGGCTGGGAGCTGAGACGAGAGTCTAGCTCTGGATCAGACCTCCGAGTTACGAATAATGAAAAACGATTGAGCTCTTTTACGGATTTGTTGCCTTGCCCAGCTTTAAATGTTGGAATTGAATCAACCTGCAGATAATGTTCATCATTTTAATGGAACAGAAAATATTTCCCCTGAAATGCATCAGCAGGGTTCAAGTGTTAACAGCAGGAAACAGGATGAATCCAAACCTCGATAACGTGACTGAAAACACAAAGTGTGCGATCAGTTTAACTCCCCAAGCTGACAAAGTGCACAAAGACGCATATTCTCCAATAATTTTATTCATAATTTTAATATAAACAGTTAATTGTTGAATAATTTACACACAGCAAGATTTTTATTTTCATATCATTGCAACACTTTCTGTACACGTCACTACTTGGCTCTCCTTTGAAAACATAGAAAAAATAAATTGTCAAGCGTTCATTTCGTCATGGCACATTTTTGATCCTGTACAATATGCATGTGTGTGTGTGTGTGAGACTGTGTAGTCGATATTTTGTGGTACATAAAGATAATGGCACATCTGGATCCAGTGTCAGGGATGAAGCGATCTCTTGCGGGTTTTGGGGCGAGGTGTCCTTTTTTTGTCGTTTTTGTGTTTTTGCACTGCACATACACACATATACACCTGCTGTATGCGTACACGCCGACATTTCAACATAACGTATACACAACATATCCCAAAAAGAATACATCAGCATATTCATCGCCAATAAAATGACATTAACAAAGAGGTATCCTGCAAGACAACACAGAGCATTCTGGGGACCACCTATGTGCACGAGGAGAGAGGAAACGTGAAGTAACAGGAGGACGAAGAGAGCGCTCGTGAAGATCTCAACCGAGGACGACGACACACTCGGACCGAGCATCGCACACTGGTGTGTAAACTGGAGCAGACCACTGGACCGGCGGGTGACTCTCACAAGCTCGTCCTCATGTCTGTCACCTGACAAAGAGCTGCGACACACAGGACTGGAATCATTCATAGGAGAGGTTCAGCCTTTACGCTCGTATAAAGCTTGTTCATGTTATGGGGGAACACCAAGCTGTAGCACAGAGGCAGCTAGCTTAGCACAAAGTCCGACACTGGAGAACACGGCGAGTGTGGCTCTGAGCGAAACTACCAAGCTCGTTTCCACCAATCGAAGACGAATAAAGCCCATCAGACACCTACGTTTAATCTTGCACTTAATATCTCAGCATTTCAATTTACTTCTGCATAAGTCACATTTTTAGACTTATGCAGAAGTAAACTGATAAACCTAAACTAACCTAAACTAACCTAAACTGTCGAGCTGAAATTCCGAGATACTCAATTTGTTTTTGCTCCAGTGGCAGAAACAAGCTTCCATACAGGATAAAACACCTTAAAATCCTACAGTTCAATATTAGACACATTATAACTAATCTGTTTAGTCCACACACACACACACACACACCGTGAGAAACTCTGAATTTAGTGCAGTCGGACATGGTTCAGCAAATAACCAGTAAATGTGAGAAACTGTTGTCGCTGGTCTTCTGTGGACTAAACCATCCAGGTGATGTGTTCATTGGTTAATCAGAGTCACGCTCGCTCTTTCTAATCTTTATGTGAGCGTTTAGAGAGGACCCGCTACGCTACAGTCGCTTTGAATGAGTCCTTTGTTTATCCAAATCTCAGGGTTGGTCCAACCAGTTACTTTATCCACTGCCTGAAACAACACTAGCCCCTCTCTATGACATCACAAAGAGCCAAGAGTAGAAAAAAGTCACAGGGATTGCATGCACACACACTGAAGTCATTTTTTGGGAAACTTTAGCTTAACTCACCCCGTAACAGCTCATATAAAAGTAAGTGACTAATAGCTCCCCTTTACCTCTCCGTGAGGGAATTCACCAAAGCATGCACGACTCCTGTGACAGCCTTCCAGCTCTGCAGCCGAGAGCCTGGCGGAGGACACGCCTCTCCAATAACACGTTTTCTCTTTAGCTTATTCAGGATTTTCTCGCTTGTGTTTTTTTGTTTTCTTCTTCAAAATAACGCACAGTGGTCTTTTCCAGTTTGTCCACACTCACAAAGAAACAACAACAACAAACAAGTTACTTGGAAACATTTTCACACAAAAACACCTGCGACAGGTGAAGCGTGTGTGAGGTGAGAAAGGCTTTACGGGTGACAGGGTGGCATGCCGCCGGGGCCGGGTGGAGGCGGGGGCGGGCCGAAATCGCACGACCTCTCGGGCCAACATTCAGGACATGCATCGGACTAAGAGCGGGGTCGGCGTGCGAAACATTTCAGGCCGCGTACTCGTGAAGCTGTGAGACTGCAGCCGCGCAATAACAGACTCGCGCTTCTCTGTAGTGGGCTGTTTCATGAAAAAACAAAAAGAATTTAGAAAAAGTTATATACACATTGATAACAATGTTAAATTCAAAATGTACAAGAGTAGTAAAAGTTTACAGTCAGAAAAGGTCGTCGTATTCGGCCTCCCTACTTTGGCTAGAAAAAAAATAGATATCAACATCTCTAAAACGTAATACTTTTCTCTTTAAAACAAAACAATAATACATACAATGCTTTGTTCTCACCCTGTGCTGCGTTACTAGCATGCTCTGTCCAACCAGAGTTCAGCAAAACAAAGCCAAACTTCCCTAAAAGTGAAGCGCTCTCGTTTTGTTTCCAGGGACGAGAAGATCTGCTGCTATTTACACGTAAGAGCTTATTATTGGGTTCATTCAAAACGAAAATGACAAACATACAAATCGTGCAGCAAACGAACGCACTTTTCAATGTTTGTGCGCTCACTTGTCGCTAATTGCGGGTGTTTGCGTGACTTTGAGGTGTCAAAATCAAAATAAAACAAACAAAATGAGTAAGCATCAAACGATCTGCTGGTACAGATGTTTCATCTTCATGCACAAAGCAAGCCAGAGCTTAGCGGAGCAGAGACAAGTTCAGCTGTTATTTTCTCTCCGCGTGGAGGGAAGGTTAAAAAGAAAAACAATGATTTCCTAAAACAACAAAAAAAGCAGAATAGTTTCGCCAAGAACAAAATTTATGTGATTTTCATTTTGTGTTCGGAGGCGGGAAAATCCTCTTTTGTGATTGGTGGACTGTCAGGGGCGGTTCTGCTCAGGAGGGGGTCAGACGGAGCTTTAGGCACTGTGGGTTGGCGCAGGAGCGGGGAAGCCGTTTGTCCTTGCAGCCCCTGACGCGCAACGCTCCCATCCGACCACTAGAGGGTAGTCCACACCAGATCACGTGTGAGTGGAGCGGTCCTGACTGATTTCACAGGCTGGGAAAAACTGATTTATGAGAAGAGTGTTTAGGTTTCTGTCGCCTTTTTGCAAGGATGCTGAGAACTTGCGCTTCAGTCAGAGCAGATGAAAGGTAGGTAGGTAGCTCTTCCTCCTCCTCCTCCTCTTTACTCTCCAACCGTAAGCATCGGGCCGCCTCCCTGAGACGAAAAAGTTACAATCGAGATTTCAGTTAATAGTTGTTATGGCACACAGGATGGTCCGAGTCCCTTTCAGAGGCGGAGGAGGGGGTGGGGGTTAAAGTCCTCCTGTAAGCAGCCCGGACGTCTGCGTCCTGCCACGACAGACCCAATCCACGGCATTGACAGGAAATGCAGGTCATCACTCGACATTCACAGTAGAAAAAGCAAAAGCATACGTACAGAATGAAATCAGAACAGAGAAACAAAAGTACAACAGGAGGAGACTCGAGATGTGAACACAGCGACTGCTTCGACCGCACGGAGACAGTTCGACGCGCCGAAGAAGATAAAGCAGCGCGAGGTCCACGGCTGAGCTCGGTCAGCCTTGGCTGCGTGAAGGCAATCACAGATATGAACAGAGTCACGATATTATTGGTTTTTCTTGTCAGTGTCACGTTCTCTGATATCAGAGCCGCTTTGCGCGCAGCCCGGAGGCCCGGTGAGCGCGGAGAAGGGGACCAGTAAAGCTACGGTGCTGCTTCCAGTGACCGTGGGAAGCTTTGTGTGAAGAAATGTTCACGAAACGTGCAGAGGAGAGGGGCGATGAGTGCTCTTAAAAACGCGACGCGCGGGCTTGAACATAAGATGTGAGAGTCTATAAGAGCACGCCACGGACGCAAGACGGCAACCTGGGAAGATCAGCTTTCCCGCGCCATCCATGACTCAGGCTCCGCAGACTGATTCCTCCGTGTGCACTGAGGTAGACTCCGGCCAAACACACAGACGACAATCATTACTAACTAATTAACTAACGAGCACTCCTGCCGCTCACCACCGCCGACTCATCTCTACAGCTGACCAGCCTGCAGCACTTACTCCACCCTCAGCGGCCCTAAACATGCTGACGGTGTTCTTGTTCACAGGATGATGATCATAAGAAAATGTTCAGAGCTGCAGACGTGCAGGAACACGCGACGTGTAGGAACACGCGACGTGCAGGAACACGCGACGTGCAGGAACACGCGACGTGCCGGAACACGCGACGTGCCGACTCCGAGCGGCTTTTCGTGATGCAGTTGGAATATTTCACGACACACACGCAGCTGATGTTAGTCTGCTTTTATCTTTCCAAACTACCACCGGCCCGCGGCTTTCACTCCTCAGTACGAGGAGCTAAAAACAGCTCCATCATTTCCGGCCCCCTTTTAGTGGCCACGGCGCAGACTCGGGCCGATCCGCGCCCGGTGTGATCGACGGTGTCTGCAGCAGAAACACCGCCTCCAAAAAATATGAGAAAGCAGTGAGTCGTCTGTGTGTGTGTGTTGAACTACAGCCAATAGATTTAGCCTGAAGAGGCTCAGGGTTTGAGAAGGCACTGGTAAATATCTGGAGGCAGCTTCCCGGCGGTCTCTGACTCGACTCTCTGGGTTCTTGGTGAGAGAGCAACGCTTTGGCTGTGAGTCTGTTCAGTTTGGCACCCGCACTGCTCTGTGTGTTCGGGGGAGAAGAAGATCCGCTGACTATCGGCTGATGCCTGAGGACCACAGAAGAGCGGCCGCGGGCTGGCCCGCTGCGAAACACCGGTGACCTTTGGGCTCTGAATGAAGGCGGGTCAGTGAAAGGTCAGCCGTAAGGACACTTGACTTGTTTGAACTCTGGATCAGTGGACGGGAATGTTTTTGAATCATCATCAGGAGCAATTTGACAAGTTTCTGCTTGTGTGAATGTTCAGAAAAATCTGTCTGCCACCGTGTGTGTTGAAGTCATCTATTAAGGAGGAAAATCAAAAAGCGAACGTCTGTCTGTGTGATAGTGTGAGCTCTGCCAACAGGCAGCAAAGGCTCGAGGGAACGAGGAGCTCCAACTCAACTGGAATGTCAGACCTGAGTGAAACAGCTGCTGCACACAGTCTGCAGTGATAGCAGGGAGAATAATGGGATTAGCAACCAACTGGCAGCCCCCCCTCCCTGTGCTCTCTCAAAAATACAGGGAGACTGCCCCCCCTCCATCTGCAGGTGGAGCTGTCCGTATGTCTCCTTCAGGCTTCGACCACAAAACCTGGAATTTTCCACCAGGCTAATCTTGAACATCAGCAGCAAACAGGACGCCTCGGGGAGACCAAGCACGGGTGGAGGGGCAACGCGTGACTCTGATAACCCCCTCCATCTAACGCAGAACGCCTCCCCCCCCCACCCAACCGCTGCTGTCAGTTCATGCTCCGCCTTTACTCCGAGCAGCACCGCGCCGTCTAACCTCGCCAGCAGCTGACACAGACGGGCAAACCGGAGAAACCACAAAAATAAATTAAAAAATGAAAACCGCAGGAACAAACACGTGGGAGCCTCAACGCCACCGAAGACGCGAGAGACGGCGCACCCGAGCACGCCGACCTACAAACGCCTCATAAAGCTTCTTTTTCTTTTTTTGGTTGTTTTGTTTTTAGTTTATTTTCAAAGCTGTAGTGAAGTCTTGAACTATTGTGCACTTTGAGAGGAAAGAAATGCAGTCAGCTTACAGCATTTCCAGGTTTCCCATCCAGACAAAGACTAAGAGGGAGGCGGGAGGCCTAAGACACCGAGAGCACTGCCGGTAGGTTGGAGCGATTTCTGGGGCGATAAAAATAAGGAAGTAAAAAATGTGAATAATAAACCCGACAAAACAAAGAAGAAGCAAAGCTCCTGATGGAAAATATTACAAACTATTTACAATGCCATCTATTTTATATATATATAAAATATTGGTAGGGAAATACCAATATTCCATATATATGTGTATTATATATACTCATATAATTCTATACCCACTAAAATATATGAAAGCAGCAGTTATTGGTCAGTCTGAGGGACTCTTTTTGTCCAATTCTTAACTGTTTAAATATCCTTCAGCCTTGAGGACACAAAAAGAAACGTTTGAAGCAAATAAATTAAAAGTTGTCACCAAACACCCGACGAATCTGTCGTTTGGAATTCTGCAGAAACAAACAAACAAACAACAAAAACATTCCTCTAGGAATAGATGTTTGTTCTACCATCAAGTCTTTGCAAGTCATCCCACTGATTAAGTCATTGTTCAAAAAGGACAAGTAGCGTGAGCTGACAGACACTTTGTTTACAGGCCACGTACACAAAGGCCACTATCTGAGTAAAAAGAGGGAAATAAAATAAAAAAGCACAGAATCGTGGAAATGCGGATCGGTGGGAGAGGAGGAGGGGCGAGTCTCGAGGAGGTCGAGCACGAGCAGCCTTCTTGGTTGTCTAAGGTTTGTTGTGTTCACAGTTTTCTGTTTTTTCCCCGTTTCCATCACAAGGAGTCGTGGAAACGCGGCGTTAGTGACGAGCGATGGTTTTCTGGTCTGATGTGTTACACCACGTTTGCATCATCTTGCCTGTGTTCTGGAGCCACGAGGAAGAAAATAAAAAGTCCTGAGATTTGTGTCTCTTTTTTTGTTTTTTGAAGGGCTTCTCTGAAGAATAAGAAAATCGCCATCATCCAAAATGATGAGAGGAACACGAAGGAGACAGAAAAATAGATCGGAAAGGGACAAAGGGAAAGCTTCAAAGAGTTCTTTGAGGAAACGGGAAGTGTTAGGAAGGGCTGGATCTGGGCAATGATAAAATTCTTCCATTTTTCTTGCCACCGTTCATGTGTGTGTAGGGGACGTGCTCCTCATAGTTCCCCCTCAGGGCCACCGAGGGCCCGCTGTCCCTGGATAAGCTCTCCTCTCTCTGGGAGTAAGAAGAAGGGTCCAGGGGGATGCTTTCCATGTTGTCCAGGTCTAGGTCAAACTCCTCCGTCTCGGGGACTTTGTTTTCATCGCTGTAGAAGAAGGAGACCTCCTGGAAAGACGGGTCCAGGTCGTCCCGCAGCATCTCGATGATCTCGAGGAACGTCGGACGCATCTTGGGATTGTACTGCCAGCACATCTGCATGAGGCTGTGCCTGGGAAGAGGGATGAAGAAAGGCCAATTTAGTCTTGTGTAACGTGGACGGCAGTTTTCCCAGCTCCGCATCTACTCACATCCTCTCAGGGCAGTTCTCCGGTCGATCCAGGAATCCTCCTTCCATGACGAACTTCAGCACCTGCTCGTTGGACAAACCCTGGTAAGGCTGCTCGGCCAGCGTGCTGATCTCCCACAGCACAACACCGAACGACCTGCCGATGTACAAACGCACAAACAAACGAGATCAGGCCGAATGACGTGCGGCTGTACGGTAGGCCACTGTGTGAGCTGTGACTCACCAGCAGTCAGAGTGGGCGGTGAAGACTCCGTCCTTCAGGGACTCGGGTGCCATCCACCGGACAGGAAGCAGGCCCTTCCCTCCTTTACGGTAGTAGTCCGTCTCATAGATGTCTCGTGTCATACCAAAGTCTGAGAGGAAGAGCGACGGAGACAAAGGTTAAGACAACACCTCCAACTACGCGGCGGTATCGACAACACCAAACACGTTCTGGTACCTCCGATCTTGACGGTGAAGTCCTCCGCCACCATGCAGTTCCTGGCTGCGAGGTCTCTGTGGACAAACTTTTTAGCGTTGAGGTAGGCCATGCCGTCGGCGATTTCTGCAGCCATCTGGAGCATGTCTTTCAGAGTCGGCGGTGGGGAACCAGACGGGTTGTTCTACAAACCACAAACAGGTTAGACCCACTCACAGCTTCCCGCAGGTAACGCTGTGCTGGCCATCTGCTGAAATACTCAGGCGTAGTTTTCAGTCACGTGACCGACTCGCTACGCTGGCGAGCTAAATATTACTGCATGACTACTTGGATCATCTACCCGTGGAGGGGAAATGAAGACAGCGATCCATATTCTGCCCCAATACCACAGCTACTGTCTGGCATTTTAGTTAAACTCAAAGATGTTCGTAGGATTGGTGGAGTGCAAAGGTGGGGTGGCTGGAGCTCAGGAGGTAGCCTAAACCATACCCATCCCTACTGCCAACTGGAAGGCTGGTGGCTCGATTCCCAGTCTGCATGCCCAATATCTCTGGGATACTCTCCGATCCATCAGCGTGTGAATGTTAGCTAGAACACACTTTAGCTTAGAAAAACGATCCTGTATGAATGGGCGACTGAGGCATGTTGTATAAAGAGTAGAAAAGCACTACATAAGAACCAGTCCGTGTACTGTTCAGGTTACTTGCAGCAGGAGCAGGTGAGTCTATCGTTTACTGATCACCATCTTCATTACTGAGCCTTAGCAGAGCAATATTAGCTGAAATCATAACACGTGCAACTTCTTTTCACCTGAAATTTTATGAACAGCCATTAGGCGAACCAAATGGCTGTAGGCTTTACTGCACGTCCCAAATCATAAACACTGCTGGTGCATGGGCCCATCGGTCTGAGTGACTCGTTACACACAGGTGGAAAAACCCAGAGTTTGTAAGAGAGATAAGATAAAACTTTATTAATCCCTCGGGTGGGTTCCTCTGGGAAATGCAGTAGAGCCCTACTTTGCTTAATTTTCAGCAAACAGGCTTCAGGGAGTGCATCCATGTGTAAATAATACAGGTATTAAACCACATGAGTGATGTTTGGGGGCGGGGCTTACATACCAGAGTGTGTAAATAGGTGGGAGCACACTAATCAGGACTACATACCTCAGAGTCTGGCCTGAGACTCCGCAGGTAGCTTTTCAGGTCCCCGTGGGTCATCAGCTCCATCACTACCAGGGTGGGCTGACCTTTGGACACCACGCCGAGCAGACGCACCTGCAAACAATTCATCGTGTTAAAACGGCGCGCTCAACTCTAGCAGTAGACTTTGTAGCCAAAATTTCAATTTAATGACTAGAAATGATAAAGCTACACCTCAATCTGATTTTTACAGCTGACGTTTTAACCTTTGGCAGTTAAACTAGTGATCAGCCGGCTCTGTAGGTCCACAGTAACAGTTACAACATTTGTTTGTAGAGTCAAACTGTGCGTGAACACGGCAGCGCCAGCAAAACAAGACACGACTGTGAGTCAGACGTGTGCCGCCGCTTTCAGCGAGACGACGGGAAAGCTGTAATTTAGTGTAATTGACGAGCAGCTGCTCCGGCGTCCTCTCGGCGTGCCGTGACGCTGTCTGAGGGTTTAACGGTTTAAAGAGTCATACCACGTGGTGACAGCTGAAAGCCTTCATGACGGAGGCTTCGTTGAGGAACTCGATCCTCTCTCGCAGGCTGGCCGATTCGTTGACCGTCTTGACGGCCACGCGCGTCTCCGGATCGCCTTTGACGATGTCTTTGGCGACTCCTTCGTACACCATACCGAAGGAGCCCTGACCGAGCTCTCTGAGCAGTGCGATCTTCTCCCGGGGCACCTCCCACTCATCAGGAACGTACACTACACAACACAGGTGCGAATGACTGTTTTGACAGAGCGAACTGAGGGAACAAATCATCGTATGACGGAAAAAACAACTATTTCATTCTTACTGTCACCAGCGCTGAAGTACTCGGGGTTTGGAGAGGTGATGAGATCTCCTAAGGGGCCTTCGGTTTGCCTGTAACACGACCACACAGAGTCACTAAGAGTCACTGGAGTTTATGGCTGTAATGGGCAGCCCGCTGGTTAAAGACTAACCTTTTTTTGAAGTACACAAACGCTCCACCTCCCGCGAGTAGCAGCAGGATGAAGCAGATGACGGGACCCATGACAATCCAAATCAAACCTTGATCAGCTGCAACAGATAACAGAGCGGTCACGAGACAGTAAATTTGGCACATCTTCCACTTTTCTGTTAAGTTCAGAAGTCCGACTCTTAGAGTCTTACGGTTGGGCATGAAGAAGTAAATCATCTCAGTAAAGGAGCCGTTTCCTGCCAGCGAGGTGGCGCGAACCCTCACGCTGTAGTTTCCAGGCTGAACAAGGGAAAGCTTGGTGCCACCGAGCTTCTGATAGGCCGGCCGTGACACACAGGTCGTGTGAACCTGGGCCCAAAAAGAAAAGAGAGAAAACCCATGTTATTCTAAAAGTTTGCTTAAATAAATGACGGAAGAGACTTTCAGGACAAACAGGTCCGGATATTTCCAGGTTACTTTTACACACATGTGGCACAGCAGGAAATACTACAGTTCAGATGTGTTTACATTACTTCAAATACTCAGGTGCCAGGGTAGAGCGTGCAGGACGCAGCACGCGCATGATGCTCACTCGCTGCTCTATTCCCACCCAATCAAAAGTGACCAAAGTATTTTTGCTGAGCCAATTACTCTTAACCCCTGACTGGGTGGACAGCCCACACTCCACCCCGTCTTCTCATGCTGCTGTGAAGCAAACCTTCACCTCACAGAATGACCTGCTCGAGCTCGTGTACGGGAAGAAATCAGAGTTTGACTGCAGCTACACTTGTGTGTCTTATTTTGAAGGGCCAACGTTTAAACGTTCTTGCTGCTGTTTGTTGGGCTCGCTGGTTTGCAGTATAAAGGGCCTCGAGGGGAGTGCTGCTGTGATTTGGTGCAAACCTGAATGTTGTTCTGAAGTGAGAAGAACAACCAGAGCTTTTGTGCTCAGGGTCCGACCAAATCACTGCATACACTCACACTAAAGAGCGATTTTTTTAAAGTGGATGCTGTTGAATTAAAATGTATCCAAAGAGCTGACATGTGCAAAAACACATAAGACTGTAATCTAAAAATTGGCCTGTAGCCCTTCGATAGAAGTGAAAAGCTGGGCTCGTTTGACTCTGTGTTAAGGACGCTTAAGGTTGGCTGATGCGCGACTGCACTGTCGCAGTTGAAGTCCGTTCCACTGAAAGCAGCAGGAAGTGATCGCTGCAGTGATAAATGCATCCAGCCTTCATAACTGTGTTGTAACATTCTCAGCGTTGTCATCGATGTGAGCCTCCAACGCGCCCCAAACATCATTTTAAATGAATCCACATCGGTCCGGGCCACGGGCTGTTTTTCAGCGCAGCGAGATGTCGCGTGAGACGAGTCCATCGCTGCCACTGCATACTAGTCTTCCATCCTGCCTCTGTCACTATGGTAACAGATCTGCTACTGGCTCCTGGGGTCAGGCGGTGCAGCAATGAATAGTAATGAGAGATGAATTCACACATTTAGAGCAAGTAAACAACAAGACTTGGACGCGCCGTCACAGACGAGACCTTATGCACGCAAACGTTCCCAGAATTTCATCCACAAACGAACGCGTCCGACAGCGTCGACACGCAGCACCAGGAGGCTGTAAACAAATATTTCCTTGTCCCCTTCTATAATGAACAGACACAAATTGGGGTGTTTACAGGAAGCCTTTCCTTCCCGGCCTGCCTCGCCTCCCTGGAGTCTACCCAGATCACTCCTTGCCTTCTCACCTGCATCTACTTTTCCTTCTGTGTGTGTCCTTCCAGCAGAGCGAATCGGGATCATTTCTGCTGGCTGTTTTCCCACATCACCTCTGTGCCCTTTGGTTTTGAAAAACAAAGGACCCCGAGTCCTCCCACTAACATTTTCCAGGCCCAGCGCTCTCTAAGGTTTGCCAGTGGTTCATACTGACCTCTGAGTCTCCGACCTTTTTGTAGAAGACCTCGTACAGGATGATGAGCCCATTAGGGTTGATGGGTGGATTCCACTTAATCAACACATAGGGAGGCTCGCCTTGCACAATCTCGTGGGTCACGGGCTCCGGGATGTCGTCTGCTTTCTCTGCAGGTGTCAGACAGAGAAAAGCACTTCACAGTGAGGCGCAGCCGATTTTATCTCCAGAATCTGATATTCGGTGCACCAGCAGCCTATTTGCACACGCGTGTGCCCGTTCTTACCCTCAGGCATAGTTCGGGCACTGATATAAGTAGCCATGCTGCAGCGTTTGGGATCTGTCGGATCGTTGCAGGCTATGATCTCTATCTTATAACTGGTAAAGTGTTGCAGGTTGGAGATGACCGTCGACTCCTTTGAGAACACCTTTTGTTCCACCTGGGCAGAAAGGAAAAGAGATTGAACTTCGACTGCAACTCGAAATAAAGTGAAGGGAAAAGATGTGGTAAACATAAAACGCTCGATACCTTGGATTCCTCTTGATCCTCGCCATCGGGGGCGATTGTGCCTGAATCCAACTGCAGATTGGGAACTGTAGTAAGGAAGAGAGGAGGCTGGGTGGCATTAGCAACTCCCACCGAGCGGCGCCGCCGGGATGGTCTGCAGAAGTAAAAGTTAGAATAGCATATGAGTGAGTGACAGAGCGCGGACCTGCAAAGTCGTCGAGTTTCATGTGCATCAAGTGTTTGCAGATGACAGATGGTGTTTTGTGGAAGCAAGCCAGACCTCTGCTCGCACTAACCTTTCCTGTGTGTCTAACTTCATGACATTTATGCACAAACACCATCCTAGGAGACATACTGACTCTCACCACTAGGTGGTGCCAGGCCATCCAGATGGATCTGAGTGCGAGCCACCATCCCAGCTAACAGGCCTTGAGCTCAAACCAAATCAAGACACAGATGTTTCACCTGATGTGCAATGAAAGGCAGATTTACTGCGTATGCATTCTTGAAGAGACGAACCCGAGTGCTGCATTTAGGACCGAGTGAAAGCAGAAAAAAACGGGAGCTCGTGTCCGTTTGCGTGACAAAATAAGAAAAGCGTGAGCCGCTTCTGGCGTCCTGCACTGTATGGAGCTGACCTTGGCCAGCTCAGAAGCAGGAGTTCAAAATGAGGCTGATGTGCGCACGGCTGTGTGTGTGCGTGTCTCCAAATGGCAGTCTGCATGACTGCGCTCCTGACCGGCATGAATGATAATGGGCACAGTAATCACCCCCCCAGGGAAGCAGAGGCAGAGACTGTGGGTGTTTGTGTGTCCGAGAACAAGGTAGGGGCACCAGGGCCCAGACACTGCACCTCCCACTGCAAGCCCCCGACGGTGGGTGACCAGCACAAAAACAAGTGTCTATAAAAACCACACACAGTGGTGGAGGACACAGAATTGGCACAGAGACTCACACCAAGGCTGAGTGATCTGGTTTAACTCCGGTCACGAAGAGAAACAAACGAGACAAGAAGCTCCTTTTGGTGCTTCGCTCGGTGTGAAGCTGAACTCACACCAAAAGAATTTGTTACATTTCTGCAAAACTCGAGGGCATTAAGCGGTTCCAGGAGCACGAATTAAACCTTTAATTTAGGTGCTGGGGTGCGTCTCTATTTAAGTTTTCATTTAGCATGTGGGTAAACGATGCAGCCAAGGCATCGTCGCATGTTCAGGTGCTGGGAATGAACCTGCTCTCGTACCTGCTCTCAAAGACTTCGTTGTGCAGGTAGTTCTCGAAGGTCTTGCGGTACTCTATCTCCTCCTGCTCCTTCTTTAGCTGGCTGTCCGTCTTGGGGCAGGCGCAGCACCTGCCGCCCGAGGTGGGCTCATCTGTTTGGTTCCACTTGTGCTCATCCTCGCTGTCCAGGTGGGTCGGGATGCGAGACGGCACTTTCATTCCTGGACGGGAAAACACAGCTGTCAGGGAAAGCCCCTCAAATGACTGAAGAGGGCGAACCATTTAAACTGCAACCTTGTAAGCAGTAGTCGAATTTGTACAGGTCGCTGTCCTCCGCCTGCTTTCGACAGACCACCCGGTAGTGGGTGATGTTGCCATTGGGACTGGTGGGCGGTTTCCACTTCAGGATGATCTGAGAGGAGGAGTTGGAGGAGGAGATGGGGTCCAGAGGAACAGAGGGTTCTGACGGGGACAGAGAACAAAATGTAAGTGCATCAGAAGGACTTTAGCTCCATCAGACTAGAGTCTAGAGGCACCATCCCATCCTTCTTCTTTTTACCTTGTTTGGAAAATAAAATAGGTCCAACGATTTATTAAATATGCAAACATCCATGGAAACACCAAACATAACAGTTTGCACAATTCTAACGAGCTTAAAAGTCGATATTTGTTTAAAGACGTTTATTCCTCAGCACAGTGCAGTCCACCCTCCACTGAGACCAGATGGATCAGCTGAAGGGACAGATGCATCTTCCTGCGTCGCAGCCTTCCCAGATTAGTGTCCTGTTTCTTGACTTTTAGATGCTGCTCATGTGCTGTAAACAGTTTGTCTTCCTTCTCCTTTGTTCTTCTATTTTCCTCACTTTTTTAAAGGATAAGCTGCATGCCGTGAAGCTTTTGGCTAATAGCTCTTTTGGAATCAGTTTGAGGTTCACACAGATTATTTTCTGCCTGTCAGGCGGCTTATGTTTGGCTTTTTTTACAGATTCAACTAAAGAAATGTGTTTTTGCTGCAGGTAACAGAGTGTCTACAGGCACAACTGAAAAGCGGCTCTTTGCTAAGTCGTCTGGTTCATCCCTCAAGTTTGGTTCCTTTTATGTTCCAATGATTCCTGGTTCATGGTCAGTGTTAAGAGGTTTAAACAAATAAAAATGATCAGGGACAAACACTGCACGAACAAAAAGGAAAACTTTCAGAGAGCCTGCTCAAGAGCACTTTAAAAAGTTACAATAAAGTCGAGCAACTTGGAAACAAAATATAAAGAAATGAGTGCTGACAGTAGTATGAGGGCAACACCCCCCCTCATCAAGGAAGGTTCATGCAAACGTGAGCAAGGTCCCAAAGTTGTTTCAGTTTAAGCCCAAATGGCTTCTTAATACATCCCATCATATAAAACAGTTAACAACAGTTGGAGTGTTTACCAAAAGCCCCCCAACAGAAGTCCAGAGTAGTTTTATACAATCACTTAGAGAAAGTCAGATATTCTACAGTCATTGAAGTATCCATCAAACACAAACATCTGGCGTTCATGGCGTTACTCACTGGAAGCATCCGTCTGAACGTAGATGATCTCGGTCTTGGCTCCGTGGACCTGGTGCTCGTCAGACGCAGACAGCTGCGTTTTGACCATGATGGCGTACTGGGTCCAGGGCTTCAACGGTCGGATCAGGTACCCCGGGTCGTCTGCCTTCTTTCCCTCCGTGGAACGAGGCGGCGGATCGACATCGGCGATCACCCAGCTGTTAGAGCCGCAGGCGTCCTGTCCATCGAACTCGGTGACGTTCTTATACGGCCTGTTGCACATGGAACGAAAACGACCCAACGTCCCAACATTGTTAGGCATCCGTGTGTCAGACAGACTGAAGAGTAAAGTGTTGGCTTTTGTGTGTCCTCGTCTGTACACGAAGCAATGATTTACTTACGCCTCTTTGTAGAGAACCATGAATCCCAGCAGGTCCCTAAAGTCTGCTGGCCAGAATGGCTCCCACCTCAGTATAATCATATTCGACTTGGTCTTTATCAAAGTGAAGTTCAGCAGCTTCGTCTCACCTAAAGGACCAAACACACAATAATCACGTTCACGTTAGTTTTTGGTCAGAGCAATCCCAAAAACAAGGCAGTCCCGTATTCTGGTGCTCTTACAGGAAGCTTGCTCCCCGTTGTTGCGTAAAGCGATGTCGTTCTTTTGGTTTCGCTCCCGGGTTCCAGTCACCGTCTCCATCTTTCGGATTTCAGACATGCAAAGCTTAGAGTTGTAGTGGAAGAATGTGCGACCACGCAGGATGGTTAGGTTGTGCTTGGACCAATCCCAAAGCTCACGGAGGTTCTGGTTGTCCAGCGCATAGAAGGCATAGGCCCTGAAAGAGATCGGACATCAGAAAAATCAATCACTCACAGCGAGGAGAGGAGAGGAGAGGAGAGGAGGGGGGAGGAGACGAGAGGAGAGGAGACGAGGAGAGGAGAAAAGAGGAGAGGAGACGAGGAGAGGAGAAAAGAGGAGAGGAGAGAAGAGAAGAGAAGAGAAGAGAAGAGAAGAGAAGAGGAGAGGAGAGGAGAGGAGAGGAGACGAGACAAGGAGAGGAGAAAAGAGGAGAGGAGAGAAGAGAAGAGGAGAGGAGAGGGGAGGAGAGGAGAAAAGAGGAGAGGAGAGGAGAAAAGAGGAGAGGAGACGAGACGAGAGGAGAGGAGATGAGGAGAGGGGAGGAGAGGAGAGGAGAGGAGAAAAGAGGAGAGGAGAGGGGAGGAGACAAGAGGAGAGGAGACGAGAAGAGAGGAGACGAGA